CACACACACTTTTTTTTTTTTTTATCTCCAAATCCAGGATAACCCAATAAAAACCCCTCTTTCCAAGATGAGTATTTCTATAAAATTCTGTTGTCCTCTCTAATTCTCCAATACTAAAAACTCCAATTTCCTGGGAAATTCGTGAGGAATCCTTTCCCCCAATTTGACCATTCGATTTTTATTCCTGAATCCCCACTCCCCTCCCCCACCTAATACTAAAATCCTATACCACTAGACCACTTTCCCCACATATCCCACCCTCCATCCATTCTTTCCTCCTAAACTAAACTCCCCCACACTTTCTGGATACTTAATTTTAGGACACCTCCAAAGATACCTTTTCTTCCCCCACAAACATGAGCTTTCCCTAGACCTCCTGACTAGAACCTGCCTCCCTGTATCCCTCATCTCTATCTCCATTTTATCATTCTTGAGGTCTTAATTCCTCCCGGCTGGGTGTCTACATTCTACTAACCTTCTAATCTCCACCCATCCCCAACTCCCACTAAACCCGCCTTCACTTTCCTGTAATCTCAGGACCTGAAGCTTAAGGACCTAGGTCAAGATAATTAGAAGGAATCCAAAAATGCTTTAGAGACGCAGAGTAATTTGAAAGCAGCCACCAGGACTATATACACAGAGATGGGGGAAATCTTAGGGAAAGGGTTCAGTTAGGAGTTCTAAAATACCCGTAACTGCCGGGGGCTATGGGCATATGGGAACTCGGTGTAATCTGAGCCTCACCATCCTCTTCTCCGCCGGGTCTGCCCTACGGGTCAGAACGCGATCCTGGGGAAGAGCAGTTGATGGCAGCGTTTTTCGTTTGTCTTCTTCTCTTGCCTCTGGGATTCATTTTCTCCTTCAGTCAAAGAATGCTACTCTGGAGAAAGGGGCCTCCTCAGCATCCAGCAAGTGTTGTGGGGAGTGGGGAACCCAGAGGTACCGGTTACACGATCCTGAGCCCATACAGGAGCTGGGTTGTGCTTGGTGGGGGTAAGGAGACTTAGGTGTCCGGTCTGGGTGCCCCAGAGCCTGCTGAGGGGGCTATGGAAAGGAGGGTTGAGTAGTCCAGATTTCCAGCACACCCACCTGCTGTGGCTCGGCTGAGGGCAGCAGCCGGCGCTGGCTGGGCTGGGACACTCTGTCTTCCCCTCCCTCCAGCTGCACTGTCCCCGTTCTCTGGAGCCCGCCGCGTGGGTCACCCTTACCAGAACCGGACGCCTCCTAAGCGAAAGAAGCCGCGCACATCCTTTTCCCGGGCGCAGGTGCTGGAGCTCGAGCGGCGCTTCCTGCGCCAGAAGTACCTGGCTTCTGCCGAGAGAGCGGCGCTAGCCAAGGCCCTGCGCATGACGGACGCGCAGGTCAAGACGTGGTTCCAGAACCGGCGGACCAAGTGGCGGTAAGGGTGGGATAGTCTTGGCAGGGGAGCATTGGGCATGGCACTCTGAGTGGGAGGGGACGGATTCAGGGGTAGGCAAGTCAGAGTTTCCCAGAAACTGGGAGTCCGGTGAGCCTGCATTGTCTGCACGCGCGGAGTGGCAATCGCTTCGCTCTCTATTAGTGGGGCCCAAGGATAGGAGGAACGGTTCTTCCGACCCTCTCTGCTAAACTCTGGTGTCCTGATGCAGGCGGCAAACTGCCGAAGAGCGAGAGGCCGAGAGGCACCGCGCAGGGAGGCTGCTCCTGCACCTCCAGCAGGACGCCTTGCCTAGGCCGCTGAGGCCGCCACTGCCACCCGACCCGCTGTGTCTCCACAACTCCTCACTGTTTGCGCTGCAGAATCTGCAACCCTGGGCTGAGGACAACAAGGTCGCATCCGTGTCTGGCCTCGCCTCTGTTGTCTGAGGGGGACCCTCAGAGCCTGGGAGATACATTCCACACCTTCCAGGACTAGGTCAAACACTGCATCCCCAGAGCCTCTCCACAGACTGGACACCGTGCCTTCTGTAGGGTTGACCAGACACCATCTGGATGCCCACCTGGACGGGATATCTTGTCTTGTCTCCATATCAGACACTTTCCTCCTGCACACACGGGGCTGATTTGGCACTCTCACCTGGACCTGATTGGATGCTTTGATTCCTTCAGTGTTGGCCTGTTACCTATACCCACTTTTACAGAGCCAGACGGTTCTTGGCCACCAACTGTCCGTGCTTGGAGGGATCGACACACTGGCCCCTAATAGGACCTGGCTAGACACCCCTGCCGGGAGAGGACCCCCGTCCTCAACCCTCCTGTACCCACCATGGTCCTCTCCCAGACTGGCCTCAATATCCCTCCATTTGGCCAGACACTTCCTCCTTGTCCCCTCCCTACTGGAGGCCAAGTTCCAGGTTCTGTTCTGATGCGGTAGGACCCCCGCACCCTGCCTCCACTGAGCTTACGATGTGGGGGGGGGAGGGCAAGCTCACTGGCTACTTGCCATGGATACTTAAGATCTGGACAGTGGGGAGCGGGGCTGGAGAATTGGCCTTCCCCAGGTGCCCCCTTCTCCCCCCTCCTCTCCCCCTAATTGATTAGCTCGGGGAATAAAAAGTCCGTGAGTCGCAAGAGAGTTCTGTGCACTCAGGCAGGTTCCTTTCTCAACTCAGTAAAAGAGACCTCGGCTGCCTGGAAGGAGGGGGTTCCTTCCCTTCCCTACTCCCCCCCCCCATTTCCCTCTCCCCTGCCCTCCTTTGTTGCGGATCGGCTCCTATTGCGGATTCGAGGGCTCACATTGCTAAAGGATTGCGGGAGACAGGATCCAGGATTCCCTAAGTGGCAACTACATCGCTCCGCGCCTCCCAGTTCGGCTCGGCTCAGCTCAGCTCAGCACTCGGTCTTTGCCGCTTTTTCTTCCCTTCTTCACCTGTCTACCTGAAGCGGTAGGGACCTAGTTGGACCAGCAGGGCCGAGCGGAACAGACCAATGAGATTAGGGGGTGGGACTGACTGATAAGAATTGGCCAATGACAGCCTGCGAGGGCTAGTTTGGGGCGAGGCTTAGGCTGCAGGGTCCGCAGTCCAAGTCCGTCGGCCTCAGCTTTGGAGAATCCGCCAGCGCCTCTGATTCGAGTGCCGAGCGCACCTTTGAGGAGTGAAGGCAGCGGGCTAACTACGCAGGAAGAGGTTTCATAAGGGTGGGGCGGGATCCTCCAGTGACCATGACCCTGACCCGACGGTTAGGAAAGGGGGTACATGGTGGAGGGCACGTGATCCTTAGGACCTGGGGGCTTCTGTGTTATGTGACCGTTAGCGTGAGCACGTGACCTCGAGGTGTGCGTTTGAGTGGGTGCCGTTGGGGAGTGACCAATTGGGGTGGGGAGATAGGTCATTGTAGGGGAGGGCTTGACCATTCAGAAGTATGTGGTTGGGGAGTTCCCACTAGGTTGTGTGGGGAAGGCTCCGTAGGAGGGTGGAGCCACCTACTTACAGGTAGACCAAAAGACTCGTGTCTGTTATCAAGGATAGGAAAACAATGGGGCGTGCCAGTATCAAGTCTAATCAGGTACAGGGGTCTGTAAGTCACTGAAAAAGTTACCGAGCAAAGCTTGAAACCAGACAAGAGAGCTTGGACTGACAGGAAAGTCATTCACTGTAAATTTCAAACAGAATCGGAATATCGAGGAAGTGGAGTTTTTGAAACCAGCGGCATTTGCAAGATAGACCAGAAAGGGAAGGGAATAATAATAATAATAATAATAATAATAATGATAGTTAATATGTATATAGCACGTACTATGTGCCAGGCGAGGTACTAAGTGCTTTATAGATATCTCATTTGATAGGAAGTAGGGAGCTATATTACTTTAGACACAAAGTAGGGCTTGGCTTGTGGATACCGGAAAGACTAGCTGTGGGACTTTTCAGAGTTCAAATTCACAGGGCCTATTGACAGATTGCAAATAAGAGGGCAAAGGAAAAAGCTAAGAGATTTATCAAAGGTAAATCCACGGTGGTGGGGCTGGGGGAACAGTAAAGGGGGAGATTGTGTAGTTGGGGAAAAAATGAATGAGATGAATCCTGTAAAGAGTTCCCGGCAAAAAGATTAGTAGGAATAGTTATAGATCTAGGACTCAAATACAAGTGGCAATGGAAAACTGCAAGAAAGAGTGAGTCCGTTGGGATGGAAGGACTGACTACAGAAGAACAGAGGAGGTTATCTTGGAGGATGCCACACTTAGCAGACCCAGTTGGAGAAGGACCCAGTAAAGGAGACCAAGAAGGTCCACAGAAGAGGACGTCACGTCTCTGAAATCCTTCCAGCTCTCAGCCTATGAGGATGGTGGTGGTGATGTGCCTAAAGCAAAGGTTAGAGTTTTTCCTTTGGCTGGTGAAGGTTGCAGGGAATTGGGATGGCTCAAAGAGGGAAACTGGGGGGGGAGGGGAAGGGAGGAGAAAAGGGGGATGGTTACAATGGTCTCCAAGTAGAAACTGGTACAGAACCTAGGGAAAAGGGAAAAAAGGGGCTTGTGATGGTTGATTGCAAGCCTTCAGCAGCCTGTACCACCTCTATCTCAAAATTTAATGCAGTGTTCTTCCTGAGAAGGCCAAAGATAGCTGTGACCAAATCATCCATCAGTTTTGGTCACCAGCTCAGGTGGTCCTTAGGGAGGTGGGCTGAAACAGGACGAAGTAGAATAAATCTGAGCCTTGGAAATAATAATAACAACAATAATAAGTAACTAATGTTTATATAGTGCCTACTATGTGCCAGGCACTGTGCCAAGCACTTTACAATTATTGCATTTGATCCTCACAACAACCCTGGGAGGTAGGTGCTATCATTACTCCGATTTTACAGATGAGGAAACAGAGGCAAACAGCAGTTAAGGGACTTGCCCAAGGACAAACAACTAGTATATGAAGCTGGATTTGAACTTAGGTCTTTCTGACTCCAGGCTTGCGGCTCTATCCACTTCAACACCTAGCTGTCACCATCCCACCCCACTCCCAAACCCCAGGATCACGAACTCCTTATGTTCACAGTACATAATGTGTCTAAGAAGAAGTCCAGAAAAGTCTCGGCATAGAACAAGCTTTATGAAGCGTTGAGGATTAGGGAAGGGAGGAAAGAGGCGTGTGGACTCTTCTCCAACAAAGGACAGGCCTAAGATGTGAACTTGGCCACCCACAGAAGTGTTGTCATTCTGGCTACTGCCCCTTCCCTGCTCAAGCCCCTTCATGTTTGAACCCAGTGCTCCTAAGTCCTTATACTGTATCCCTGTGCACCCATACCGTCCCCTCCAGTCATACAATTTGCTAGGCCCCACCTGCTGGCTTTAGACTTTGCCCTAAAACCCAGGGACGATGTAATCCGGCCAGCTCTGTGTCTAAGACCTAAGTCAGGTCAGGGCAGCTCCTGTTGGTGGCTCATCTCCAGGATGGTTCCTTTGGCAGAGATCACTGCAGAGCACAGGCATCCTTGTCATCTAGGTCGAGGTCCTGGGTGGGAGGCTCATTCCCTGGTGAGACTCCAGTCATTTCTTCCCTCAGCTGATTCAGAAGGTCTCGGCTCTCACTCGCAGGCAAGTTACTCAGGAAGTAGGGGGGCGCCAACTCTATGAGCCTGGGAGAGGAAAATATGCTTGACTGCTGTTTCTTACAAAAGGTTATCCTGTCCTTCACTCTTTCCTGATTTGGGAAACTCTTCCCTGAAGGTACTTACTCCTTCCCAAAAGATGCCCAATAATTCCCATAGGGAGAAAAGAGGGCATTAGGGCACTCACATGTGGGGCTCGAGCTCGGACACAATGGAGAGGCAGTTGTCTTGCGAGATGGAAAAGTTATGGTAGAGTACCCAGGGTGGAGGTTGGGCTGGCGGGCGTCGACTTCTGTAGCAGCAGGATGGGGACAACTGGGCCACATGCTTGTGGGTCAGGAGCAGGTAATTGCCAGCCCCATCTGTGTCTCGAGCCACCTGAATGAAGGAGGCCAAAAGGTACAAGTGAAAGGGAAATAGTTGAAAATCGGAAAACGTGATAAGGGGTTGGGAGACAAAGGGGTCAAACCCCAAGTGGATTGCTGCCTCCCCCGAGTCTGACCTTCCTCCCTTAGCCCTAGCCCTCAAATGACCTCACAGAATCTCCCCCTAGCCCCGAGGAATCCCTCTCCTGACCTCCCAAGACCAGCATTCTCAGCTTCTTCCGTTCCTCCCAACCACACCTTGAGGAAGTACCCCGACACCAACGCTCTCTGCAGATTTTTTCGATTCTGTTCAGAGCCAAATGCTGGTGGAGACAGGGGAAGTTCGATTCGACGCATCAGTTCCAGGAGCTCCCCCCGAAATGCCCGGGCCTGGCACAATGCTGCCCAGCTCAGCCCCCGAGCCTGACACCAGTTCTCATCTTCCCCGCCTAGGAGAAACAGGAATCAGCCACCCTAGATTTCCCACGGCCCTCCCTAGGTCTCCATCCCTTACTAGGCATTTTTGCCAGTCCACAGCCCCACAAATTCTACCCCTTGCTATTTTCCATTTCCAGGAAACCTCAGGACTGCTGGGAGTGGGGTGAGAAAGAGAGAAAGGCACTCACTCACTCTGTATAAAGGCCTCATACACCTGAATTAGGGTGCTGTGGTCACCATCTGGATGCTCCAATGCTCGTCGTCGGGCAGCCTCCTCTACACACGTTGGTGGGCCCTCAAACCCAGAGGCAGCTGGAGAGTATGTGGGGGAGGAGGGAACAGAACAGGGTTAGTGGTGTGGGCAGGTAGAATTGTTGTCCCTCGTGGAGCTAAGCTATAAAGACAGCGAAGGAATGTCTGAGCTAGTTACAGTAACTGGAAATGGGGTGTGTTCTTACTGGTGAGCATGGCTGCTAGTGTTAGCATCTCATCCACGCAATCAAATTCACAGGCAGCCAGCAGGGCTTTTGCGAGCTCAGGGGGCAGAGGGAGCTCGGACAGAATGACTCCAAGGTCTGACAGGTCACCATCATCATCCAATGCAGCCAGATAGTCCAGATCTTCCAGAGCCTGCATTAGAGCCTCTGGGGCTAGAGAGGACACAGGGTGTCAGAGCTGGAGGAACTTCTGAGGGGTCCAGCATCTCACTTGTTCATGAGTAGGTTGTCTCACCGGGCCGGTCCAGAAAGTGACACTCTCCTGGCTCTGCAATGTGTCTCCTCTTCAGCAATAGCACTAATCGGCTTAGATTTTCCTCACATACCCGAGGTGGAGGAACTGAGGGAGCTCTTAGCTCCAAGAAAGACTTAGGATATAGGCAGAGACAGGATCCTGAAGGGAGAAAATGAAGGAAGGATTCAGACAGGGGGCCTCTTCTTTGTCCTCATTTGGGGGGAGGGGTCCTTGTCTTGGATTTTAGTTGGAACAAATGAGCTTCTTACCTAGTGGGGAGCCTTTGGTTCTCCGCCTCCTGGCTTCTGCTTGGCTTTTGCTGATTGGCCTCATCACTTGGGATTCAGCCCGGATCTGAGGATTGTAAACCTATCCCCCACAGGTCCCAGATACAGTCAGGGTCTGCTATTTCCAGCCCAGCCAGCCCTTTCCACTCTCACCCTCACCCCCTGCTCAAAGGCAGAGACCCTTTCCCTCACATTTCGAAGCTCCAACCCTGAATCAATGACATGGTGGATTGAGGGGATCGAGAAAGATGAGTCGGCCAGCCAATGAGTGACCACAACCTTCCGAGGGCCTCCCTCCACATCCTCGTACACAGCCTGGACTGCCCGGCCAAGCCCAGCATGTAGTGGCAGCACCTGAAATTGGGTCACCTCAGGACCCAAGTGCTCTGCCTCCTTTCGAAGACATTCACAGCACCGCAAAATGTCCTGTGGAAAGGTGGGGAGGTGCTGGTATTAAGAGAAGGCACTGACTCTAAGACTTCCTTTCAGCATCCCCCATGATCCCACTCACCTCCTCACTGGGCAGGTAGACCAGCACATCCCCTGGAGCCCCACCCTGGTGTAACTCCAGCACAGCTTGGCAGGCAGCACCCACTAGATCAGTGGGAGCAGGATCCCTGTACACAGGAACAGGGCCCTCTTCAGGCCCCCGAGCCACCCGCACCACAGGAGGGTTACCCCAAAAGGCACTGAGCTTAGGTTCAAAGGCTGGATCTGTGACCACGACTAATCGTGGGCCCTCGAGGCTGTTTCCCAATCCTGCATCCCGCAATAATCCCTGCAGCACATCGGAAGCCACTGTCCGCTCCTGGGCCTCATCCAGTACCAGAACACCCCAAGCTCCTGCTCCTCGGGCTGAGGCTGCTTCCTGTAGCAGCAGCTTGTCCCAGCAGAACCTGTCAACAAAGGAAAAGGAGGGAAGGAGTGGTTAGGAGTCAGGCTAAACATGGCTTGCCCTAGAGGTGTGGCAGTCACTACCAGCCAGGACATCGTGGTGTATGAGTCAGGACTCGCTCATGGATTTAGAACTAAAAGGGAAAAGTCACAGTCCAGTTCCCCCATCAGGGAGAAACTGAGGCACAGAGGGGTTAAGTGACTGGTCCAAGGAAGCAGTGTTTGACTTCTGATCTTCCTGACTCTAAGTAAGCTCAGTGCACTATTCTAATACCTCATCAATACGGTGAAGAGGTTGTGATCTTGTGACATGACACCCTTTCTGGTCCTGAAAACTCAGACCTGTTGAGTTACACTGAAAGGATGAAGGGGAAGGACTTGGGTCCTTGGGTGAAGTGACAAAAGTGCTGTGTTGAGAACAGAGTCAAGGTAGTATAGATAGGAAGAGACAGGTGTCTACAGTAACGCAGGCTCAGCTGATTTCTTCCAAGAAGAGTACTGAGTGAAGGGAGGATTAGGAAAGTGTCAGGAAAGCTGACTGAGCCGGGGAAATGGGCTGGCTGTTAGATTATGTGGAGCACCCCACCTGAGCAGGGTGTCTGGTCCAGTGCAGTCCTCCAAGGGGATGCTGTAGCCAACTTCGTGGCCCAAGCTTAGATCCATTTCATCAGCTACTCGAAGAGCTAGGCTCAGGGCAGCCAAAGGCTGTGGCTGTGAGACCGTCACCCGGCCATACTGGAATCCCCTCGCCAGAGCAAACTCAGCACACCACTGAGGAATCTAGTCGTGAGTCAACAGAGACACAAGCCAGGTTTTAAATTACTCAGGTGGGCTCGCCATGTCCCAAACTCCACCACCACTGCAAGCACTCGAGTTGGCAGCGTTGTGGTAAATGCATGCTCCCTGGGGGCTCTCTGCCTCCCTCCGTCCCCCCTCTCCCCGAACACCCGCCCCGCCCCCACCTGGGTGCTCTTGCCGGAGCCAGGTTCCCCGGACACCAGCACCACACCGCTGGGGCTGCTCTCCAGCTGCTCGAGGAAGCTGAAGCGTGCCGCCCAGACGGGGAGAGCGCGGCGCTGGGCCAGCAGGGTGTAGTATCGAGAGGAGAAGGGGAGTCCGTCATAGGGATTCACGGCCAGGTCCGACCCATCGGGACTCGGGCCCACCTCCTCGGTTGGCCCGGGGGCGTCCGAGGCCATGGCAGCCCAGGCAGGACCTGCAGGAGATCAGCCGGGCAGGACCGGAGGGGGATCAGAGGAGGCGGGCGCCAAAGACACTCCCTCCCCTCGAGCGAGCCCGCCCCCTCCTCCGGACTGACCAAGCCTCGCCGCGGAACACCTAGGGTAGGGACCGGGAGACCTGGACAGGAAAGGATCCAAACCCTGCAGTCAGGTGACGGACTCCAACAGTGCCGGTGGGAAAACGGGGCGGAGTCTGACAGACTCGGGCACCCGCGACCCCCCAGCCTTGGGGGCGGGGCTACCGTCCGCCTTGCCCTCGCCGGACAGCTGGCGGCGCGGAGATGAGGGCGGCCGAGAGCCCGAGGGCCGGCGCAGGAGAGTGTGGCCGGGCCGCCAACCTCGTGGAGTCAAACCTTCGCGAGGAGCCGGAGACCCGGACCGGAACTGGAGACCGCGACACTCGGACGCGGATTTTGCCCTACCGGGCGGACGTCAGGCTCGTCCCAACCCGGCCCACCCTCCACGTTCAGTACAAAGGTAAATTCCGGCTCCACCCTGGAGCCCGGTGTGGGGGGCGTGGCCGCTTCCCCTCCCCCGACGGGTACCGGGAACCCATGGAAACGAGGGCTCCGCCACTCGACACCGAGCATGCGTGAGGCCTACGCAGACAGAGCCAACGCTTTGCATGTCGGGCCCCGACCGCGAAGTGTATCCTGGGATTTGTAGTTTAACTATCAGGGAGCGGTGATCCCGCTTGGTGGTAAGGTTAAAAACCAAGTTTGCCCCTTTTTGTCAAAGGCTTTTGTCAAGCCTTTAATCCGCAGTTTGACTTAACTCGCTAACACCCCCTTGAAAATGGGGATAGATTCCAAGGATCCTCTTCTTTCCCCACCAATTCCCCAATATAACCAATGTCCTAGAACCAAGAAGGGGGGCATGACTACCTTAAGGACTCCAGAAGCCCAGACAGGAAACGAGGCTGTCTTGAGTGAAAACCCTGAATTTAATGGGAAGTTGGGGAGCCCCATTCCCTCCCTTCACACGCCCCACCCATCCGGCCTGTGTGTGGGGGGGCCTGCCCCCTGGCCTCCGTCCTGCGGCCCTGGCTTGCTCCATCTCCTTTGGGCTCAGTCAGTCTCCTGGGCCCGTCTCTCTGTGTATCTCCTGCAGGATGGGGAGGAGGGAGGTTGGGAAATGTGGGATGTGCACTGCCTACTGTGTGACTTTTCTCCCTTCCTCTTGCTCCCCCCACGTTCCCCAGGCTCCTTCCAACCTCACCTTCGGGCGTATTCATACAGTGCCTGCTTCCTCTCCTGCAGGCTCTCCTGACGGGCCCAGGAAGACTTGGCAAACAGAGCGGCAGGCTGAGGGGTCACGGGGTCAGAGCTGGGGGACTAGGGGTCACAGGGTTGAGATGTTATCCAGTATTTATTGAGCACCTAACTTACATAAGATGCCGGGGTAGAATTGAAAGATCCAATATTGGGAAGTTCCCCATGCCCTACCCTCCAGCCCAAGACTCCCCCCACCCCTATCCCACTTTCTGGGTCTCACCTTGGAGACAGAAGTTGTGGGAAAGGGCCCAGAAGGTGGAAGGGTTTGGGACCCCTCAGCAATATCCTCAGGCACAAAGGCTACAGCTCCCTCCAGCAGATTAGTGATAGTTGTGTCTACACAGCCAGTGCGGGCTGGAAAAGAGAGGAGAATGGGGGTTTCTCTCCTCCCCTATTCTCAGGTTTCTTCCCCATCCCACACTTCCTCCTCCTAATTCTCTAGGTGATCTTTCTTAAACCTGGATTCAGTGTCCCCAGAGTTCTGCCCCATCCCCTAACCCAGGTCTCTCTGGAGTTATCTTTTCCCTTCCCCATACCCAGGTCTCTCTGGATGACGCCAATTGGGACATGGGGTAAAACCTCTTTGACTCTTTGAGAAAGAGCTGCGAGTTGCCAGTCAGGGGAGGGGCCAGGTGTCGAAGGGGGAGAAGGCCGAGCTGCAAGAAAGAAATGGAAGATGTGATGAGGAGTGACCCATATAACAGAGACAACCTGAAGGAAAATGACATACCTGACTGGGGGAGAGGTCTGGTGTGTCGCTGCCGCTTCATGTGCTCTGCTTTATCTGCAGGTGTGAGTCGAGTTCCTCTCTGACCCAGCTCCCTGGCCACCAACTGCGGACAATTGGAAGGTGAGGCCAAGGGTCACAGAACCCATCAGACTCCACAACACACTCACTCCCCCCCACCCCCAATCACCATTACCTGCTGGACACGAAGGGCAAATGCCTCACTCCCTTCCCCTGGCTGTTGATGGGTAGGATGAAGCCATCTGAAAAATAGAATTCAAACAGAAGTTAGGGCAAATCTCATAGAAACTGAAAGCTCTTGCCTATTCCACAATCCATATCCTGTTGGGTTTGGAGTAGGAGACTGTGTATGGGAAGAAGTATTAGCTAAGTCAGAGTTTATGGGGTGACCTCCCCCTCCCCCTGGAAACTAAGAACAGTTAGTACCTTACTTGATACACTGTGAAAGGGACGAAAAGTGACCAGAGCAGCTCCGAGACCCAGGAGGCATCGGACACTGTCTGAAAGGAGGAAACAAAAGGTTGAGAACTAAGCCAGGATGAACCAAGGAGACTCCCTTGCCCCCAACCCCAAAAAACCAAGCTCAAACCTTCCCTGTTCATACACTCACCACAGAGACCAAGGGCCTCTGGACCCTAAGGGCAAGTGGTTGAACTATATCCTGGATAGAAAATGGCCAGGAACTGCAGAAAGAGACAAATATCATAGGATCAGAGTTGTGAAAGGTGGGTCACCAGAAGTCACATCTGAGACATAAGAAACTGAACAGAACACTAAAAAGGACAAAACTATGAGAAAGGTGGGAAACATCAAGATGGAAAAAAGATGTACTTCAGCTGGGGGGGAGGGTTGGGGAGTACTTGTAAGGAAGAAAGGGGATAGGAGAGAATGGAAGGTCCCTACAATCTCTAGCATCTTCTAAGTAACCTCAATACAAGTTTATGAGTTTAAGGACCTGTTGTCTGGTTTGGCTACCTTTGTCCTTCTTAATCATTTACCTAAATCGCAAGAGCCCCTCCCGGCCATTGGTCGCTGCCTCTTCAGGAAACAGCAACAAGGGAGCAGGTGGGTTTCCCCTCGAAGAACAGAATCTTTTCAGCGACTCCACCAACTCCCCGCTGCCATCCAGCTCCACAAAGCCCCGAGACCAGCACACGAAGCCAGGGGGGCTGTTGATGAGAGGCTGGGAGGGGGAACAAGGGAGTGGCACCAGAAATAGGGGGAAGGGGTAGAGAGGGAGAAAGAGGATGGTTGGGCTCCGAGCATCCCCAGGAGGGGAGGAAGCTCGTCGGGAAGGGCAGGGGGACCCCCGAGGACCAGTGGGGTTAGGCTCCTTCCCCCCTGGACACACTCACGGTGCTACAGCTGGTGAGGAGGTTGACCATGTTGTGGTCAAAGGGTGTCACGTGATTGGAAATAAAGACCCTGACGCGGGGATCGCGGAGCCGGGGAGCCTCCTGGCGGACCACAAAGCCCAGCACTGCACACATGGCCCGGACCACGAACCTGCGGGACAGGGGACGTGCCGTGAGACCCTGCCAAGGGGAGGACCGCCCCTGTCCCTGCCCCCGGGCCGGGCCGGTACCTGCGGAGGACGCTGTCTGGCAGCGCGCAGCTGACGAGGAACACATGGAGCCCGAGAAAGAGGCGGAGCACCAGGAGGCAGAGCCCGACGGGCGCGTAGAGGAGCAGGGCGAGCAGCACGAAGCCGTCACTGGGGAGCCTGGGCCCCGCGGGGCAGGGGAGGAGGGAAGGCAGCGGCCGTCAGAGGCCCGCGGGCCTGGGCCCGACCGGGGGCCGGGAAGGGGCCGGGGCTCGGGGCGGGGAAGGGAGCAGGCAGGGAGGGCCGGGGCGGCCTTCTCACCGGTGTGAATCAAAGAGCCGCTCCGGGCCCGGGGCCGGCGAAGGCTCCATCGCCGCCGCCGCCGCCGTCGCCACCTCAGGGCCGCCCAGACCCTGTCACCATGATAGTCCCGGGCCGGCCGCGCGGGCTCCTGGGAAAGCTAGGGCCGGGCCTTTGGGCGCCAGCCCTCCGGGCTGGTGGGCCCAGAACTCCCAACACGCCCCGCGCGTGACGCGCCGCACTGGACTGTGGGTCTCGGAACGTAGGAAGCTGACTGGGGACTACGCATCCCGGCATGCCCCGCAGGGCCGCGCCCACCTCGGTTGGAGAACTACAGCTCCCGAGGTGCGCCGGGATCGTAACTCCCGGTAGGTGCTCGTTGGCCCAGTCAGCTCTCGGAGCACCGCCTCTAGGGTAGGGCCCGGGCCGGCGGGGAGCCATGGCGGCGGCGGCACTGCTGAGGAGGGCGGGCCGGGCTCACACCCTGAGCCTGGGCGGGCTACGGAGCCTCGCCGGGCGGCCCCTGCCCTTGGCCGAGGCCGAGGCGCCTAAGACGTCGGAGCCTGCGGCGCCCCGAGCTCCCGGGTGGGCGGCGGCCGCCCTGGGCGCGGGGACGGCGGCGCTGCTGCTGCTGTGGGGCTCGGGGGGCCGCAGGCGACGGCCAGGCTTGGGCCTCTCGCCTCCAGCTGTCTTGGCCGCTGTCCCCACGCCCCCGCCCTCCTCCCCGCGGCGGCTCTACAACTTCATCGCGGACGTGGTGGAGAAGACAGCGCCCGCCGTGGTCTACATCGAGATCCTGGGCCGGTAACTTGGGCGGGCTGGGGGGGGAGCGCTGACTTCTGACCTCTCTTCTTGGGGGGGCCTCCAGCCGTGGGCACTGACGGGTCGGGAACCCCTCCCCCCTTCTGTCTCCTTAGAGTTGGTGGGGAGGGGCCACGACTGGGGTAGGGGGCGTTGGAAAGGGACAGAATGACCTCCCCACCCCTCGCTGACTTTCACCTCTTAGGCAGTCCCGCCCTACCCTCACCTGACCCCCATTTCTGCCCTTTTTCCCTATTCTCAAGCCCACCCACACCGTGCTCTTCTCTCTCTTCCCCAGACACCCCTTCTCTGGTCGAGAGGTCCCCATCTCCAATGGCTCGGGCTTCATCGTGGCTTCTGACGGCCTCATCGTCACCAATGCCCACGTTGTGGCTGACCGGCGCCGGGTCCGTGTGCGACTGCCCAGTGGGGAGACCTACGAGGCCACTGTTACCGCTGTGGACCCTGTGGCCGACATTGCCACACTCAGGATCCCAACCAAGGTTGGGGGGGTGGGCATTGGACCAGCCCAGTCCTACTCCAACAGCCCCTCAACCCCCGAGTCGAGTTGATACACTGACCCAACTCCCTGGGAGCTTGTCTGCACCCTCAGCAATTCCTCCCACTTCCCAGGACTCCCTTCCCACGCTGCCCCTGGGCCGTTCTGCTGAAGTTCGCCAGGGTGAATTTGTTGTTGCCATGGGAAGTCCTTTCGCCCTTCAGAACACCATCACCTCTGGCATCGTTAGTTCAGCCCAACGTCGGGCCCGGGACCTCGGCCTACCTCAGCCCAACGTTGAGTATATCCAGACCGACGCTGCTATTGATGTACGCAAGGGATGGAGATAGGACAGGGGTGTGAAGGTAGATTGGGCCAAGGACATAATTGTACAGAGGAGGATGGGAAGACACGTGGTCTTTGTGGCGTGTGTGGTTGGACGGTGTGGATAGAGAGTTTGAAAAAAGAATTTATATCCCAGTCTCATTCTTTTACTATTCCCTTCCTTTTTTTTTTCTTGTAGTTTGGAAACTCTGGGGGTCCTCTGGTTAATTTGGTAATTATGCTATTCATCTTTATTTCCCCCAGGACTCATTTTGGGGGTGGGGAAAGTGTTTGCATAAGGGTCCTTGGTCAAGTTTTGGGGCTGCCCTATCTCCCTGCCTATCTGTGTCTCCCCCTTACCCCTGGCTGAATTGTGCTGGGGCGGGGGCTATGTTCCTGCAGGATGGAGAAGTGATTGGGGTGAACACAATGAAGGTCACAGCTGGGATCTCTTTTGCCATCCCCTCTGACCGCCTTCGGGAATTTCTGCAGCGAGGGGAGAAGAAGAGTAAGTAGGGAAAAGGAGGCAGTCCTGCGATGATGTTGGGAGTGAAGGAAGAGCAGTGCCTGAGTGAGGAGGGATAGTTGAGGGATGCCGGGGTCACCAAGAAGGGAGGACACAATGCTGAGCAGGATGACAGGGCTCCTTGGTTTTCTTTCTGTACCAGGTTCCTGGTTTGGGAGCAACGAGCTGAAACGTCGATACATTGGGGTGATGATGCTGACACTAACACCTAGGTATGACTTTTGGGAGGAATGGGATGGGAGTGGTGAGAGGGAGTGCCCCGTTGAGAATCCTAAGTCCCTGATTCTTGTTTAACCTTCAGCCAGTAGACAGTGAAAGAGTTCCATAGCCTCTCCCCGCTCCTGTTTCCCTTTTACTTTCATCGCAATCACCTTATTTCAGGTCTTTGTCACCTATCTGTCCTGTACCAGGATCGTTGTATTTCCCTCCTAATTCATCTCTTTCTCTAGTTGATACCTTAATTTGTCCAGGTATAATCATATCAAAACAACATTTTGCACAAGTCACCCTCTGGGATTCTGATTCTAGGGGCTCCCCATTGCCTGGAATGAAGTACAGACTTTCTCAGCCTGGCATTCAGGACTCTGTCTGGCACCAACTTACCATTCCTGCTATGTCTCTGTTCTCTTAAGGCTCTAGCCAGATAAACTTAGTAATTTTTGCACTTTTGGTTACATTTCTACATCCAAAATGCACTGTCCTTTTTTCTCTGTCTTTTGAGGCCCAGCTTAAGTCCCACCTTCTGCTCTGCGAAGCCTTGAGTGAATATCATTGTCTTCAGTGATTCCTATCTTTTCTGAGCTTCTCTATCTGCTGTTGTCTATGCTTCTCATTTGGTAAAGGACTGACCAAAATTGCCTTTTTACCCCCAGAATTTCACTTAGGGGCATACGTTGAGAATGTGGTCAGTATATTTGGCTGAAGGAGGGGGTGGTGAGCAGGTAAGGCTAACCATGCCTCGTCCCCATCAGCATCTTGGCTGAGCTGCAGCTTCGGGAGCCGAGTTTCCCTGATGTCCAACATGGTGTCCTCATCCACAAAGTCATCCTGGGCTCCCCTGCACACCGGTGAGGGTGGAAGGTTGTGTCTCAATGGGTACAAGGAAGCTATGGAAGCTTGCAGGAGGGAGGGCAGGGCCATGGTTCCCCTCCTTGATTCTTTCCTCCTTCAGGGCTGGTCTGCGGCCAGGGGACATAGTTCTATCCATTGGGAATCAAGCAGTGAAATCAGCAGAAGATGTATATGAGGCTGTTCGTACACAACCCAAGCTGGCCATGCAGGTCCGAAGGGGGTTGGATACACTGACCCTGTTTGTGACTCCAGAGGTCACTGAGTGACCAGAATGGACAGAAGGGCCCACGTCCTTCCATAACCTTGTTTACCCCAAATGGAAGGAGAAGGGGAGGGTATGGCCCCTGCCCTGTCTCCATACCCCTTTTTCTGTGAGGCTGGAATAGCTTGGGAGGGGGTCAAGCTGGGGAATGAGCCAGGGGAGGGCAGGCCCTCCCCCTTATGTACCCCAAAGAAACAGGAGAAATGTTTTATATAAAATAAAATTAAAATAAAATAAATTTTAACTAGTGACATGTTGTAGCCAAGAGTGAGGGGAGTAGGATGGATTCCTCCCCAAAACCAAAAGACTGGAGGTCTTGACTGTGTCCCCAGGACAACGCTGTGCATGGTGGGGAGCTGCTCTCTCTGCTCCAGTCCAGTTGTGGAAGCATGGGCAATCCTCCTTCCCAATCCATGCACCAGACTGTTTAGCTGAAGCCGAAGTCTGGCTCCAGTAGTGCCCTGAGGGTGGGGAGGTCCGGGGAGCCAGGTAGCAGGCAGATCAGGAGCCTTAGACAATCTGGTTGTTGGCCTGGCCAGGGTAGCGTTCAAATCTCCTGTTGGCCTCTTCACCGAAAGCATCGCCTGGAAAGGAAAGAGCAGCGGAGCTGGATCAGGCCGGATCAGGCCCTGGCCCCCATAGGAGGCCTGAGCTTGAGGGTACGTGGGAGGGAAACGAGAAGGTAAAGTGGGATGGGGGAGAGGGCTTTGCCACCCTGCTCAGCCCCGCCCTGATACCAATGTGGCAGTTGTGCACCCAGATGCGGTGTCCATCGTATTTGCAGTTACATTTCATCGCATTGTTGGTGAAGTCACTCTCCGCCACTTCATAGTTGGGGTTAATGACCACCTAATGTGGAGAAGAGGTAGGGATCTGAGTTCCCTTTGGGTGTACCCAGCCCTAGAGAACCCAGATATTCTCCCACTTTGTCCCCCTCACCTGCAGGATATAGTTTCCTGGTTTCACATCTGTGATGTCGATCCACTGGCAGTCAATGTCATGCCGGTAAAGATCCCAGCAGCCCACAGTGATGCCCTGTTCCCCAAAGTTGGCACACTCATACCGCTTGGAGACGTCTGGGGGGGATGGGGAGTTCAGAGGATGGAGCAGCCCCAGGAAGCATCAGCTGCCACAAGTCCCAGGCATAAGCAGGGAGTCTGAGACCCAAGGTAGGGAAGGCCCTCAGACCTCTGGGGTGTGGTTAGATCTGGTGGTGGATGGGGAGCCCCTTTCAGGCTTTGACTCACCCTCTTGACATTCGGTGTCCTCCAGACAGAAACTGGCCTTGTGACCCTCTGCCACCTTGGTGCCATTGGGTGTCAGGATGTCATAGTGAGTAAAGATGTCCATGCTGTGGTAGTGCCTGTGGGGTGGATTTACAGGGGCCTACAGGCCTGCATCTGCCACCACTGTGAAGGCCTTGGAGGCCCTCTCCCATTGAGTGTACAGCTCCTCCTCTCTCCCCCACTGACTCTTATCCTTTCCCTCTCATTAGCCAAGACCCCTTTCCCTCACCCATGGCATTCATGCCACACCCAGGAGTGTCGCCCAGCCTTGGGCCTGAAGTCTGCTCTGCCAAGGTTATGAATCTGGGAGGAGAAGCGGAGTAATCGCCGGTGGCCATAGGGCCAGTTGGCTGCCCGGGCAGAGCGAGCCAGACAGTTTTCCTCTGCTGCACAGTACAACATATGTAGTGGTCGGTCCTCAATGTAAGCAGTTTCCTGCACCAGTGCTGAGTGAAGTATCAAGTCTGATGCAGCTGGGAAGGGGGGAGGAGGAAGGAGGTCACAGGTTACCAAGGCAGGTGATTTTTGTGAGTTGGAAGAGTAGGGGGCATCCCCTACCAGTCTGCATAGGGACAGGATGAGACTTTCCCCTGGGGCCACAGGTCCCCATTCCCTGCCTCAAAGAGGTCTCATGCTGGGCCAGGGGCCCCCCTCCCCTGACCCACTCCCCCTCACTCTCAGAACAGATGACACCAGCAGCGAAGCGTGTGCCTGTCCTCTTGCAAGCGATAGGGGTGCCATGGTGGGCACATTCTCCTAGGGACAGCTCAGAACCTGTACAGCGAACTCCACTCAGTACCACATCGGTGACATTCCCCGAATCCCAGTACCATGTCTCCTGGAAACATGGATGTGTGGACACATGAGAGCCCAGGAAACATGAGGGAAAAGACCCTTATTTTCCCCCTTTCCCTCCGTACCAACCTGTAGGCCATGGCTGGCGTAGCCCAGACCAAGTTGCCGACAGGCCACCATGGCTTCCAGTGTTCCCCAGTCATCTCCACAGATAAGGCCCCAGCGGGGGGAGCCAGGCCCCCCTACCTGCACCTCCACTCGTCCCTCATAACGGCTGCGGCCCCCACTTAGCCGGATCTGCAGGGAGCAAAGGGAAGGCTGAATGGGGTGTCACGAGCTCTAGAGAATGGTAGAGATGAGTTGGGAGGGACAGTTAGAGGCTGAGAGAATCAGAGAGGGAAGCATGCAGGAAAAGAGGCAATGAGGAGAGCACAGGGGACTGAAGATAAGCCTTTGGCCAGGCCTCAGAGAACAAAGCTGACCATGGTCTCAACCCCGGTGTAAGGCAGGTTGCAGCGGACAGCGGCATCCTGGGCATGGGAACAGTCCTCAGCAGTGATGTTCTTGTAGGGGCAGCTCCAAAGGGAAGCTTCCCGACCTGAGCAGCGCACCTCACTCAGGTGGATGGGACCCATACCTGGGGTCAGGGGATAGAGGTCAGGGGGCTACAGATAATATGTCCCCACTTCCACAATGACTGCCCAATAACTTTTCCCAGTGCCCCCTGGTACTCCCTCCCTCCGCCCTATATGGGTTACTGCTCTCTGCCTTTAGCTCACCCTGTCCCATTCGGGCACCGCTCAGGGCCTCACGGGCACTCCCAAAGCCCAATTCCCGGCACAGAACACTGGCTGACAGGAGGTCCCACTTGTGGTCACAGACTGTGCCCCACTCACTGCCCTTCAAGACCTCTACCCGGCCCTCACCCGACCGTGCTCCACCTTTCAGACGAAGCCGAGGCTGAAGAGAGAGACATAGAGATGGGGGAGAGTATTAACGGGGGTAGGGAGGTAGACACATAGCTTGGGGCAAGGGGTGGAGGGTATCAGCTGAGTAGCAGCCCTAGGGAATTGCTATCTCTATCCTAGAGGGTATTGGAGAAAGGTATTATCGGGGTCCCACTGGTTCCTTGAGGTAGGGTGGGCTGGGTTGGTCAGGAAGTGGGCATGGGGGGACCTCCCTCTGTTTGGGTCACACACACCTCTCCCCGAGGTTGTGTCGATGATTGCTTCTTTCTCTGGCCACTGGATGTGGCATAAAGAGAGCCTGGCACACAGCTCACCACGGCGGGTGCCCCGCCTGGGCACCGGGCAGTGTCATTGCCACGATAGAATTCCAGGGGGCAGAGGGAGAGGTGAGCCTCAGTGCCCACACATGCCACTCCATGCAGGCCAAAGGAGTGACGTTGGCGCTGGGCCAGCAGCCTGGGGACAGGGGAAGGAGGAGGATGGGTCCCCAAAATGTAGCTTCCTCATCCTCAACCCTCCTCCCCTTCTCCCTGGTCCCATTCCCCTCTCCCAACATTTTCTACAACCTCCCACCCCTTTCTACGAGAAAGAAAAAAACCAAGCAGTCTCAGGAGATGCGAGAGACAATGGATGTTTCAAAAAAGGAAGGGATTTGGGGTAAGGAGATGGAGGGAGCATTCTGGACATAGGGAGGAAAGATAGCTCATTGTGACCTTGACCCTACCTCCATCAGCCCCCCTGCTGCTGGCTCAGAATATGACGAAGGCCGATGAGCAGAAAGAGCCATGGGCTGGGACCAAGGGCCCAACTTGGCTGGGATGGCCAGGAGGTATTGCATGCCTCGGGGCCCAGTCAGCCCGAGTGTAGACATAAATGCTCCTGCACGTACGCTGGGGCAGAAATAAGCGATGGAGAAGTAGAAAGTGATGGCATAGTAGAAAGAGCATAGGGCTTGAAATCAGGAAAGACCTGGGTTTGAATCCTGCCCTTGACACTTGATAGCTGTGTGACCAGGAACGAGCTATCTATAACCTCTCTGATCCTGTTTCCTTTTACAAAATAGAAATAGTACTTCTCTCACAGAATCAAGTGAAATAATGAACGTAAAATACATTTAAGCCATGAAATACAATATAAATGTCAGCTGTTAAAGAAGTAGCTATGGTACAGGGGAAAGAGAACTTGACCTGGGAATCAGGAGAGACTTGGATTGAAATTCTGCCAATTTGTTGTGAGTTTGAGCAAGAGACTTAACCTCTCTAGGCTTGTTTCCTTATCCATTAAAAAGCGCGATAATTATACCTATGATACTTACCTCATGGGGTTGCTGACAGGATCAAATGAGATCATAAAGCACATTGCATACCTTAAGGCATTACATAAATGTCAGTATTGTATTTGTTTTTGTTATGAAGTATACTAGGTCGTGGTGGGAAGATAGGAACTAGAGAAGCTGTTCCAGAGCTGAGTGGGAAGACAGGCCAGGACAACTGGACTTGGGAAGGAGAGACAGGATACTAGGAGGTGGGAAGGATCGGGATGAGTCAATATTGGAGAGATTGTCCAGGCAGCGTATGGGTTGGGGGGTGGGGGTGAGGAGAGACCTTGAGAAGGTCAGAAAAGAGGGAAAGTGATAGGATGTGCCTGGACTGGCGATATGCAATGGCGTCTCAGGAGGGGTCACTCCATGCATCTTGAATAAAAACAGTACAAGAGAAAGATCCCATAAAATGGCCGAGCAGGCAAATGGACTTTGTTTGAGGGAGACCAAGGACAGCTCTGGGACCTATTTCACTGGAAGCCAGTAAGCACCAAAGGGTTGTGTGGACAAGAGAAATGTGTCTGTTTCCTGGAGCAACAGGTGCCAGCCCCACAAAGGAAGGAGCCAAGCAGAACCTGGTGCTAAGATGGCAGGATCACGAGTGGGAAAACCAGGAAAAATGTCCTCCATCCTGTAGTTACTGAATATTAGCTAGGACAGGACTGGGGCCACCAGAAAACACTGCCTATGAAGATGGATATGAGTATAAGTGCAAGTGTGGGCAAAAAAAGTGTGTGTGTGTGTGTGTGTGTGTGTGTGAATAGCTCATACAAGAAGTCCAGAATACAGTGTACTAAAACCCCAAAGGACCAGGCAATGTCAGGGGTCATAGAAGTGGAAATGGTCTTATCCTAGAGTAGAGAAGTCATTTTGAGGAGGCCCAGGATGGAGTCCACTGAGGGCAATGCAGATACCAAAGAGAAACCCCAAAAACCAGAGCTTAAAGAGGCAGTCCCAAGTTCTTCAAACCACCAGAGTGAGACTGATGAGCTGCCCAAAAGATCATTTTGTGATCCCTGGCCCAAGATGGGGATAGTGGGGAGATGGGAAAAGAAGAGAGTAATGAATTCTCCCCTCTGGCTTCACCGGCCAAGCAGAGAGATTCTCCCATCCAAATTGTCTTTCAAAGCCACTGGGCTGGAGGTGTTCTGGGGGGTCAATGGGGCAGGGTGCTGTGTGGTACAGAGGAATGAACTCTGGGCTGGCATTCAGACTTATCAAGTCTCCCCTCTGATCTCAGGCAAATTGCTTCCTTGCTCTGAGGCTCAGTTTCCAAATCTGTAAAATGGGGATTACCATCTTTGTTATACCAGCTACTACTCAGAATTGGGGCAAGAATCAGTGAGATAACATGAATAATACTTGGAGTATAAATGGGAGAGGTACCGTTATTTTTGGCCTAAGAAGACAGGTGTCGTTCCCTCAGAATTCTGAAGTAACTTGAAGGGAAAAGACAGGACTGAGTCGTACCGACTGTTGTTATAAATGCCACTGTGCTAGAAAGCTAAGTGACTGCCACTTTGGTATCCTGAATTTCACCTCCATACCAGGCAAGCTAAAGCTAAATATATAATAAAGGATGGAATCAGTGGTCACTTGGGCAAACATCACCAGGATGGGTGGGGGGTCCAAATGAAGCAGCATCAGACTGGACTCATCAGATCCCCTAGTCCCTAAGGCCTTCCCTCTTTCCCCTGGCTCCCAACCAGTCAGGTCCCTATGGTCCCCTGCTCAGACCAGTGGGCTCAGTCCCTATGTCTGCTTTTCACCATCAGGTGCTTTATTTACCTCTTTTTGGGCCCCTGGCCTGCACGGGGTTTGTGCTTGGCTTTAGGCTTGGTGACTGGCCTGGAAAAAGGAGACAGGCATGGAGGGAGGCAAAGGACAAGTGGAAGGGGATCAGGAAGGGTTAGGGGCCATGAGACTCCTTGTCTTTTCTGTTCTGTTCCCCAGAAAGAGACAGAGGGCAGGGCAAGGGAAGGGATGAGGAAGGAAAGGAAGGATGGGGAGATACAGTCAGGTGGTTGGGGCACAGTGTCCACACTGACCCCTCCATGGCCACATTGAGCAGGGCTCCAGGGGCCCATGCTGCCCCACTGGAGATATCTAATCAGAGCAGGGAAGAGGAGCGAGGCAAGGAAAGGTTGGTCAAATTTAGGCAGAGCCATGGGAAAGAAGTGAAGGGAAAGGGCTGAAAAGAGGGGAGTGGGGAGGGGAGTGAGTGTGAATCGAGGCTGGGGGGGGTCGGAGCTCAGGGCTCAAGCCTAGGGTTGTTGAGGGGAGAAGAAGGAAGTGCTTCTTCCACATGTCCCCACATTTGACCCTGCTTGGCCACACCCCGATTCACTACCCTGGGATCTGGAAAGGACAGTGTCCTTCCAGTTCCTGGAGCCACAGGGAGGATCAGGAGGCCCCTGGATTCAGCCAGAGGTCAATCCCCTCCTACCCTGTTACCTGCTACGAGACCCACGGCGTAGGGCAGAGGCTTTGGCTGCCCGTTTCCTCAACCGTCTGTGAGGACAAGAGAAAACCGGAGTAAGGACAAGCCTGGGGTCTGGAACCAGGCTAGAGGGCCAGTAGAGGTCAGGAATAAGAGAAACTTTTCCCCAATGGCTTAGAGGGACTTCTCATCTCTTGCCCTACTGTCCTTGGTTACCAGGAGCTAAAAGATCATTTTCCTTTTCAATCCCCCCAACCAGTTGAGATGTCAGAGACAAGACCCTTGTAGCTCAAGGTTGGATCTGAACGCTTGGGATCAGTGGGAAGGAAAGGAGATGGATGTATGTGAGGATACATGTGAAGACTCAGGACAGGATCACTGCCTTAGGAAGAAGGGCTGTAAGGCAGGATGGGAACCAAGAATCTTAAGTCAGACAAAAGCAGAAGTATAGAGGGTAGGGGTGGTACGCAGTGTCTAAACAAAGAATCTTGTAACCACTCAGGCCATGACCACGGTGGAAATGGGGTGGGGTGTCAAGCCCAGGAATTCGGAAGTTGACCGAGGAGGGAACCACGTGACTTGGACCCTAGCCAGGCTGATGGAGCTGGGAAGGCCAAACCTGGTCAGGCCTGCCTAAGCAGATCTGCTAATCCAGCTGACCTCTTTTCTCGGCCTGCAGCCAGTCCTAAGGCTCATTGCCAAGAAGGGAAACCAAAAGCATAGAGCTGTGTTGAGGGTGAGGCCAGGCAGAGCCAGAACACTTGAGGGGATGGAAGTAGTAACCAGCAAGGCCCTAAATAGTCCAACTGCCCCTTCCCTATCCCCAGCTTGGATCAGCTCCCAATGAGTGAGGTCCAAGTGTTTGCTTCCTTTGTCACTGGCCTGAGCTCAATATGTCTTAAACCTGATCCCCAACTGGCCCCGCCTCCCACTTTCCCTCTCCATAAAGTGCCACTGCCATCTTCCACTTCAGAATTCTGAATGCTCTCTGGCTCTCTCACCTCAACCCCCAATCAATGGCTATGTTTAGTCCTTCCACCTTATCTCCTGAATCCATCCCATCTCACCTGCCCTATTGTAACAGCTTCCTAACTGGTCTAACACCAGCTTCTCTTTCAGAGACCGCCTGGATAATGCACAGATCTGACCCATGTCACAGCCTTAAAAAAACTTTCAGTAATTCCCTATCACCAATAGAAACTCCTTGGGCTGGCATTTAAGGCCCTCGCAATCTGATTCCTGCCTACCTTTCTAGCCGTGTCTCACGTTACTCTCATGTATTTTCCATGCTGGTCAGACTGGGCAAATCACTGTCCCCTGTGCAGGGCAAACCATCCCCCTTCTCTGCTTTTGCACAGATGTCCACTTCTCTGCCTGGAATGTCCTCTTCAATTCTGCAGCTTGGCACCCCGAGCTTCCTTGCAGAGGCATCATGGGTGCCACCTTCTACAGGAGACTTACCCTGACTCCTCCTGGTTGCCAGGACATTAGCTCTCAATGCTTTTTTGCTCTTGAAATTGCTCAGTATTACGTTACGTACACTTTGTGTCTACTTATTTGTATACATGTATCCTACCTAGTAGAATGAAGGCTTTATAAGGGCAAGAACTGACCGTCTTTATCTGTATATCCCCAGAACCCAGCACTTCATCATTCGTTGAACTAATTTGAGTAGAATTCATGAATTCTAACTCCCATCCATACTGGACTATTTGCTCTTCCCAATGCTCGTCTTATCTTCTTCTGTTTCTGTAACAATGTTCCCCCATCCCCCACCCCTACGATGCATAGGATGAATTCAGCAGCCAAACTTTCTGCCTGTTGAAGTCCATTTCTTCTCCCAACGTGGATGTGGGGCCACCACCTCCTCTGTGAAGTTTTCCCAGCTGACAGTGATCTCTTCAGTTACCAGCTTCTCTTACTCACTTGGTATGTTATGACTTGTAAAACCCTCTGTATTAGATTATAAGCTCCTGGAAAGCAGGGACTGTATTATTTTTAATCTTGGCCTGGTTCATAGTAAGTACTTAAGTACTATGTAAGTACATAGTAAGTAAGTAAGGCTGAGATTTAGTCACTAAGCTTTGGCTACCTCCATGCATTAACCACTAAGCTTCAGTTGCCCCCATTCATTAACTGTCCTTAAGGACTTAGATCAAGACTCCTTTCAGCCAATTTACTTTTGGTGTTCCTTCCCTGGACCTTCTGCATATAGGAAAGAGCAGAGGCCACAGCTGCACCAGGGTTTTGGGGGAAACCATTTGTGGTGATGCTTAGTTCCTTTCCCTAGGCCACCACAAAGAGCTGGGATCCCTTGCTCCCTACCCTATAAGCATGCTTCAGGATGTTTTCCCCTGAATATAGTACCATAAAATTGCTTAGAATGCACAGAGTCCGGGAAGAGGTGCTGGGGAGAGTTCTCTGCCTCATTCCTTCTTGAAGAATTGCTGTGGCCTCCAATGGGGTCTAATTAGAAAGAGTACTGGCTTTGGTGCTGGGGTGTCTCAGTTTGTATACTGCTTCTGTCACCACCTATGTGACCCATTTCCCTCTCCACGTTCAGTTTCCTCAATAATAAAATGAGAGGGCTAGATTATTGGATGTTTCTAAGGTTCCTCCCAGCTCTAAATGTGTGATTACTTCGAGAATCTCAGAGTTGGAAGGAGCCTCAGAAATCACTTTATCCAACTCACGCTCCATCAGGAATTCTCTCTACAGCACCCCAAGTGTGAGGCTCAGCCCCTCCTTACTTTGCCCCCTTCCCCACGGCCCCACGCTTTTGTGAGTGTTAGACGCTTTTCCTCCATATTGAGCTCACATCTGCCTTTTCGGGCAACCGTTATTATAAATGTTAAATAAGACAAGTCCGGCTTTGAATGCCGTGAATACTTTCTTTTCCAATGAAATATTTCTTTATCATTCTTCATTTACAATTTTTATGGCACTATATCTTCTCTATTATTAAAATATTTCCTGTAGTCCTAAAGTGATTTAGGTCTTTTCAGATTTCAGTCTTAGTCCTGACTGTCATCAAATTATCTGTGACCTTAGAAGAGGTCTTTCCATTTCTCTGGGCCTCGGTTTCCCTCTGTTGAGTGAAAGGCTGAATTACAAGATCTCCTATATTGCAGCACTTAACATCTCATTGTGTTATGTGTGTTTGTGTCTTTTTCACTACTCTTAGAATCATAAACTTAGAGTTGGAAGGGACTTTCTAGGTTACCTAATTGAATTCCCTTATATTTTACAGTTGAGGAAACTGAGGAAGGGGCTTGCTCAAGGTCAGTTCTGCCTTCAAATCCCACACATTTCACACCTCACCATGTTGCCTTGTGGAAGATTTTGGAGGGCAAAGATTTTTACTCCCCTGGTATCTTCTACAGTTCCAAGCTCAGCATGTATGAATCCTTGCTGAATCAAGGATCCTCCAGGATCTTGTAAGCCAAGTCTCTGAGATCCTATACAAACATCCCCTGAATTGAACACAAGCCCTAGACAAATTTCTGAGCTCCTTCAAACCTTTTTCACACCTTTACTCATCTCACACTCCTCACTCATCCTGAAATCCTGCTAAAATCCTGCAGATCCCTCCAGGCCCAGGCCAAATCCAATTCAATCTGACAAGGGTTTATTAAGGGCCTCCTAAATAAAGCATTGAAACAGCTAGGTAGCACAGTGGATAGAGTCCCAGGGCATGGAGTCAGGAAGACTCATCTTCCTGAGTTCAAATCTGGCCTCAGATATTTCCTAGCTGTGTGATCCTGGGCAAGTCACTTAACCCTGTTTGTCTCAGTTTCCTCATCTATAAAATGAGCTGGAGAAGGAAATGGCAAACCACTCCAGCGTCTTTGCCAAGAAAACCCCAAATGAGATCACAAAGAGTTGGACTGAAATGAAGGAAAAACAGCAAAATAATGTATTAGGTATGGTGAAAACAGCCTGGATCTAACCAGGAGTGTCCCCCCCAGGGCTCTCTGTCCTGGGCCCTCTTCTCCTCTCCATCTATATTATTTCATTTGGTGACCTCATCAGCTCCCATGAATTCAATCATTATCTCTATGTAGATGATTCTCAGATCCATTTATCCAGACTTAACCCCTCTCCTGATCTCATCTTGCATCTCTAGCTGTCTATTAAAATTCTTGAATTAGATATCCCATAGGCATGTCCAAAACTGAACTCATTATCTTTCCTCTAAAAGCTCTCTTCTTCCTAATTACTCCATTTCTTTCAAGGGTACCACCATCCTCCTAGTCACCCAGTCTCTGGTCTAGATGTCATCCTCAACTCCTCTTTCTCATCTGTCATATACAATGAGTTGCCAAGGTGTCTGCCTACATCTCGCTTACACTCCCTTTTCCCCTCTGACACTGCCATGGCACTCTGGTACAGGTCTTCAAAGCCCAATGTCTGGACAATTACAACAGCCTTCTGGTCCATTCCCCTGCCTCATCTTTCCCTATTACAGTTTACTCTTTATTCAGCTGCCAAAGTGACCTTCCTAACTCACAGGTCTGACCATGTCACCATAACAGCCTCTCCCCTCCACATCCCCTTCTATGAACCAGACTGATTCCCAATTACTTCTAGGATCAAATATAAAATCTTTTGTTTCGCTTTTGGTGTTCTCCATAACCTGGCCCCTTCCTAACTTTCTAATCTTCTTACACCTTAGAAAGAGTACTGGCTTTGGTTCTGGGGTGCCTCAGTTTGTATACTGCTTCTGTCACTACTTTTGTGACCCATTTCCTATCCTGCATGTACTCTGTTGGCCTCCTTCCTGTTCTGCAAACACACACTCCAGTTCCTGATTCCAGGCATTTTCATTGACTGTTTCCAAAGCCTGGAACCTTCTCCCTCTTCCTCACCTCTTCCTGGCTTCCTGGACTTCTTTCTAGTCTCAGTTAAAGTTTTATCACCAATTCATCCTGTCTTTATCTTGTTTATACATGTTGTCTCCCCTGTGAGACTGTGAGCTCTTTGAGATCATGGAATGGGGCATCTGGGTGGTGCAGTGGATACAGCACTGGCCCTAGAGTCAGGAGGACCTGAGTTCAAATACGACCTCTGACACTTATTGGCTGTGTGACCCATTGCCTTGCCAAAAGGAGAGGGAGAGGGAGAGGGAGGGAGGGAGGGAGAGAGGGAGAGAGAGAGAGAGAGAGAGAGAGATCTTCAGCGCTTAGCAGTGTCTTGCACTTAGTAGGTGCTTGTTGCCTGGACTTGAATCTAGTGGCTGAAGATATGGGTTCAAATCCTGGCTTTGTCACTTTGGGCATAAGGTTTCTTCTAGTCCTAAATCTATGAAATGATACTGGACAGGCATTGTGCAAAGCCCTGGGGGGAACTGCCAAATAGTCCCTGCTCATCAAAGAGAGTAATTACATTCCACAGTGAACAAACGCCCCTTCTTCTGGGAAGCCTCTCCTGATCTCGCCCCCGCCTCTCTTCTTAGAGAGCATCAGAAAAGAACCCTGGGGCAAAGCAGTCAGATGAATCTGCCTAGCGCTTGATGACGTCACCTACATTCAGGCTGGAAAGGCTCAGACCAACCCCAGGAGGGATCCCCGCCCCATTGCAGCAAAACCCGCCCACTCTGAAAGGCCCCGCCCCTCCAGGGCACGCTTCTCCTTCCAGATCCCACCCCATCCCAGACCACCAACACAGGTTCCATCCACCACTACGGGTCCTTCCGGCTTCTTTCTCCCCTCAGATCCCAGTGCTGTCTCATAGCTCAGACCCTTCCCAGCCGGACTATGTCACAGTCAAGACCCCATAATCTTCACCCCTTTACTCTTCAGACTTATCATACCTCAAACCCATCAAATTCAGAGCTCTTGGCACCTGGCAGTACAGACCCAGCTCATCATATTTCCTCCTCACCCCTTTGGGCCTCTGCGCCACACCCCCATACCTCAAAACTAAGCATTCCTCATTCCGCGAACCCCAGACCCTCTCACACCCCAAACCCTGTTCTTTCAGACCTTGAACTTCATGCCAAAGTGACTTGGCTTTGATTTGCTTTGACTTTCCCACCTATCAAACCCCAGACAATCTCCTAACCTTGACCCCTTCAGATACTTAAATTCAGATCTCAACATATCTCAGCCCTCAGCCCCATTCCCACTTCATAGCTCAGACCCCTCCTTACCTCACATCTCTCTCACTCCTCACACTTGGGATGCCCTTTCCCCCATCCCTCGCCCCCCCCCCCCCCCTCGCCCCCCCCCTCCCCCCCCCCTTGCCCCCCCCCCCCCCCCCCGGCTCTCTCACCTGTAGAAGGCAGCATTCACCCTGCGCTCGCTGGGGAAGCCCAGCATCCCGCAGATCACTCGGCTGTTATGGGCGCTCCATCCGCCGTCACACACCTGGGCCCACCCCCCAGGGAGCCGGACCTCCACCAGCCCCTCCGTGACAGGCAGGGGCCGCCGGCCCCCACCCACAGCTGACTTCAGACGAACCTCTTCCACCTGCAGATGCTGCTCCTCCACCTGGGGACGGGATGCGACAGGTCTGGGTAAGCCCTTAATCACACAAACACATGGCTCAAAGGATCACAGGTCCCAGGGAAACTGTTCATTCTCATCCTCTTACTTACCTGAAGACCTTCGGATTGAGAACCGGAAGGAACTTTAGAGATCATTTTCTAACCTCTCCATTTTATAGATGAGGAAACTGAGGTCTCCAGCTAGACTGGGATTTATTTAAATTGTGTAACTCTCCAGCCCCAAATCTCCCCCCTGGAGGAACCCGACCCCAAAATCCTTTCTCACATAATAACTAAAATTTCTATAGAAAATCTAACTGCCTCCTGAAGAAAAACAGAAGTCAAAGCAAGAAAGTATAAAGATTATTAACCCCATTTTACAGATGAAGTGACTGTGGCCCAGAGAAAGAACAGCAGCAGATGACTGGATGACTTGTTACATACAAAGGAAGCAGCAGAGCCCAGATTTGAAGCTGGCCTTCAAGCTCCCAAACCTGATCTTTCTACTAAATCAGGCTGCCTTCCCTATGGTATTATATATTAACTGCCCCAGCTAAGTGGTGCAGTGGAGACAGTGCCAGCTCTGGAGTTAGGAAGACTCATCTTCCTGAGTTCAAACTCAGCTGGGTGACCCTAGGCAAGTCATTTAACCTTGTTTGCCTCAGTTTCCTCATCTGTAAAATGAGCTGGAGAAGGAAATGACAAACCACTCCAGTATGTTTGCCAAGAAGACCCCAAATGAGGTCATGAAGAGTTGGACACAACCAAAAATGACTGAACAACACCTGCCCCATGACCCCCATATCTTTCCCAGCCCCCAAATCCCAATGGGCCTGCCTGTATATGTATACAATAATAACGACATTTATAGAGCAGTTTATGGTTTGCAAAGTATTTTACTTTTTAAATATCATCTCATTTTGGATCTTTGTAAAAATAAAGTAAAACTGAATTTAAAAAAACCCAAATAAATATTATCTCATGTTATCCTCACAAAATTCTTGGAAGGTAGGCACTATTATTATCACCACTTTAAAGATGAGGAAAGTGAGGCAAGACAGAGGTGTAGTGACTTTCCTAGGGTCACAGGGCTAGTAAATGTCTGAGGCAAGATTTGAATTCATGTTTCCCTGCCTCAAGGTCCAGCCCTCTCCAAACTAGATGCCATAGGTATAGGTGTTTGTGCAGAAACTATGTCTTTGCCCATATACCCACCAACCTCTATGATGTTGGAATCGGAGAAGCCAGGAAGGCGCTGGTCCTTGCATATGACACCAGCATCCTCATCATGGGTGCAGTCGCTGTTGCCCCAGCCCCGAGAGGCACACTCTGTAATGCTTTGCTCCGTCCCTCTGCAGTTCAGGTTGTCCAGCCAGATTCGGCCTTGAAGAGTGGGACAGAAGGGACTGAGAGGGAGTGATGAAGGTGGGGATGGGGATGTTAGCAGGGCATGGAAGAGCTGGGGGTCTTAGAGGTCTTCTATTCCAACCCCCCCCAACTTATTTTACAGGTGAGGAAAGAGCTGATGCTGGGGGATGGGGAGACAAGAGGGCCTTGGCAGACAGGGAGTGGCATCCTTGGCCACTGACTTTTTGAATTAATTAACTGAATGTTCTCCTTCTAGTTCACCCAGCCCAAGCAGATATGGGTGAGGGAAGGGGAAAGAGTATGGAAGGCATTGGGAACCTCTGGAGAATGCAGAAGGGCCTTGGCGGGGCAGGTTCATTTTGAGACTCTGAGGAGTAAGCAACAATCACACTGAATCACAGAATTTTAAACCTGATGGGAGATTAGAAACCACTGAGTCTAATTATTTTGTTTTCCAGAGGGGAAAACTGAGACCCAGAGAAAGGAAGTGATTTTCTCAAAGACACACAGTTATTTAGAGGGAGAGCCAGAATGAGGACTCCCATCTGACCTGGTCCAAAGCTCTTTTCTAACCATCTGGATGACAGGCAGCCCAGGGAACTGGTCACCCTCTCCTCCCAATCAGTCCCCTTCATGTAACATCTGGGCCTATCTTGACATGCTCTTTTTCCAGGCTAGAGTTAAAAATGAAAGGATCTCAAAGTTGGGAGGAACCTTAAAAGTCTGTTGTCCAAACTCCCTCTCAACATAGGAATCCTTTCTATATATAGCCTCCCTGATTCTGGGATCCTTGAGATTCTTCTTCAGGACTTCTGAATGTGTGGAAACTCACTGCTTGCTGAAGAAGCCCATTCAGGTTTTTTTGTTTTTGTTTTTTTAGCAGTTCAGGTTGTTAGAAAAGTGTTATTTGAGCTTCAGTCTCCCTCCCTGTAACTTCCACTCATTGTACTGAGTTATGCCCTTTTGGGGCCAAAGCAGAATGAGTCTAATCCATCTTTCCTATGATAAATACTCACACAGATCACAGGACCTCAAGGGAAAGCAGAGGTTAGAGTGACTTGCACATGGCCATACATCTAGGAAGTGTTGGAGGAAGCAAGATTCAGACCTGAGTTTTCCGGACTCCAAGTCAAATCCTGCCTCTCGGTGCAGAAAGGTCAAGGAGGAAAAGAATTGAGCAAAGGCTTCTGGATTTGGCAATTAAAAGGTCCCTGGTGGTGACCTTGGAGAGACTCACTAAGTAGTCTTAGGGAGAGAAGCCAGATTTCAAAAGTGCTGACCAAGAGGAGGTGGAGTTTAAGTGATTCTTTCTAAAAGTTTTGAAGTTAAGGGAAGGAAAGAGATATAGGGCCATGCTTTGAGAGGGGTGATGTGGTCAAAGGAAAGTTGTTTTTTATGGTTAGAGGAGACTCAGGTATTGGAAAAGGATAGGTTATCATTTGGGGGTGATAGAGGGCAGTTGAAGATGTTCATGTCCGGTGGCCTCTGGAATTGGAAGCAATTGGGGCTCTCAAAATAATTTTCCAACAATCAGAACTAGCAATGTGTTGGGCTGCCTCATGCCACAGAGAGTCTCCTGTCCATGAGAGTGTTCAAGAAGAAGTTGTACAACCACTTGTCAAGGATTCTAGATTATTTCCATATCCTGATAAATAAGCCTTCTCCTTCCCTAGGATTATAAATCTAGAATTGAGAGAATCTTCAGAGCCCATCTACTCCAACCTTATTCTACAGATAGGGAAACTGAGGTCCAAGGAGGTTGTGCTTTGCCCATAAGAGGTGGAATCTGAACCCATGTCCTCTGACTCCAGAACCAATTGCCTGGGTACTACGTTGCTTCAATTCCCAGTTATTCTGTATTATGTATGTTTGTTTTTCCCCTGGATGTGCTCATCAATATCTTTAAATGTGGTACCCAGAATTGGACACACTCTACCATGGAAGATCTGACCAGAGCGGAGGACAAGGGTATTAATATCTCCTTCCTTGTTCGGGGCACTCAGCCTCTACTGATGCTGCCTTCAATCACTTAACCTTTTTAGCTTGACACATAGAGCTTGCGTAGTCCACTAAATCCCCCAGATCCTTAATTTAGGAATAGTTGATCTGCTCATACCTCCTAGGGAAGTGCAGTTGATTTTTTGAACCCAAACCCGACTTTACATTTATACTTATACATTTCACGGTATTAGATTTGGCCCAATCATTGATTTTTTAGATTTGGACTTTGTCAGTATATTAGTTCTTTACTCAACCTTCTCCTTCCTTCCCCTGCTTCTAACAGCTCCGATTTTGTATCATCCGCAGACTACATCTTTTTTCATGTCTTCCTGACCCTCCAGCCTCAGCTGGACTTGGTGCTCTTTTCCTGTTCCGTGGCCTTCCTTGGTACCTGTTCTCACCTGTGCCTGCGCCATACTTGGCACTGTGGGCCCACCCCGTGGCTTCGGTAAAGCCCAGCTCCCGGCACAGCACATGAGCTGCTTGCAGCGTGAAGTCATCATCACAGATGGTACCCCACTCGCCAGCCCGCTGTATTTCCACGCGGCCCTCATAGTGCTTCCGAGGAAAACCAGCTAGGCGGAAACGAAGCTTGCTACCAGTGCTCGCTGCAGGGCTTGGGGATGGAGAGGGGGCTCCCAGGCACCAGGTACATAGCATGCCCAGAAGCAGCCCCCAAAGACCCCACTGCTGGCCCCCGGCGAGCTGCAGGTCAGACATGGTCTAAGAGAAACAGAAACCCAGACTTTAGTGATAGTGAGATGGTGAGACAGAGACAGAGAGAGTGACAATAAGGTAAGACAATGAGAGACATAAGCAGCTTTGATGACACACACAGACATAAAGAGACACAGAGTAAGGCAGAGAGACACAGTGAGAGACAGAGGGAAGGAGATACCCTGTGAACTCAACAGATGAAGAATGACAGACATTAATTAGGCGATACAGGGTGAAAGAGATGGAAGAAGAAAGGTAAATAGAAGTTGGTGAGAGGTTTCTGTTGAATCTTGACTGAGGAGGAGGAATAGTGGTTAAGAGAGACTCAGCAGCAGCCCTTTATTCTTAGAGCTGGAAAGAAACGCAACCTCATCAGAGCATGTGCAGGAGAGGCTCAGAGAAACAGGTATGCACACAATTCATACTATTACACACACACACACACACACACACACACACACACACACACACACACAGAGGAGTCCCAGACAGGCACACATAATAATTTTAGCTGCATGGATCACACATAGCAGCCCAAACCAGAAGTCATGAGAAGGCCTCTATGTTGATAGTGACACAGGAAACAATGTCATGGATGGTGCGACTTTGACAGTCACATACTGAGGCTCCTTGGCTACCTGTCCCAGGGGAGCATGGGGACCCAGAGGGACCAGGGTTGAGTGAATGGGGCGGGGCAGTGGGAGCCACAGGGAGGGAGGAAGGGAAGGAGGGAAGGAGGGAAGGAGGGCAGAGTGTGAAGGTCCAAGCCGTTACTGAGGCAACAGAGACTAGGCCAGAGAGACAGGCCCAATCCCTGGGGGGGATGGGATAGGAGCAGCTGACTTTAGGGTTTGGCATCTCCATCCCCTGCAGAGGAGTCTTTGGTGGGAGCAAACTGGACCCTGCCCTATTCACCCCGCCTCCCATCTCAGCTCTAGCCTTCTCTTCTTCCTCCTCTCCCTTCCTTCCAGTCCTCTATGGAAACTTTGACTTTTCTGGGCCAGACTCCCAGCAGAGACTCCTGTCCTCTTTTCCCCTTTCCACCCTGGGGCCTCCTACCCTGTCCGACCCTCAGATGCTGTCCTTATCCCCTCCTGTCACTGCCACATTCTTTGCCCCCTGCCAGGCTGGTCCCCTTTCACCTTTCTGTTTCCCCCACTTCCCTTGCATTGGCCATTAAATGAACTCCTTCAAGTAACTGGGGACTAGTCAATGACAGAAAGTATAAAACAGCTTCAAATGTCGGTCATCTTCACCCCCATAAACCCCCTATACCCTGTGTCCCCCATCCTATGTTCACCCCCGCCTCTCTTGTCTCCAGTACCCTCTTGTTTGTTTCTTCACTCTCATTACCTGGGCCCCCCATTGCTCACACCCTCTTTTATCGCCTATCACTGTTACCCATCTTCCTCACATCTTTCCTTCTAAATCCCATCCCCCGCTCTCCCCCCCATCCTCCAGTTCTCCCACTTCTTTCCCAGTGACCGTCCTCCACCCTCCCACCCTCCTAGCCCCCCTCATTCCTCATTTCCCTGTTTGTCTGTTTTGTTCCCCTCTCCCCAAGCGCCCCTACCTCTGGGCTGGAAGTTGACTCCGAAGGAATGGGATGGGGGACGTCAGTCCTGGCTTCAGAGCCTAATCCAGGGACTTCCAAGAAAGTGCCGGGCCCTGGGAGACTGGACGCCCCTCCCTCAATCCCTCCCACCGTTTCACTCAGTCTGTCCCTCCCCCTCCCCGGCCGGCCAGGCCCCAGCCTCGCCTCCTCCCCTCCGCCCCTGGCCGCTCAGCTCAATGAGGCTTTCTTCCCTGGCTGGCTGAGGCTGGAGGACACACGGGGGCCCGTGTTGGGCGAAGCCCCTGGCTTTGGATTTGGAGAAGGCTCCTGTTCATTTCTTAAACTTCATCCCTTTGCCCATCCCCCAAGGTCCCTGCCTTCTTCCATCACTCACCCCTTGAGGTTTCGGTAAAGAGTGTAGGCTCGCACGGACACTGAACACTCTGTGTGTGTGTGTGTGTGTGTGTGTGTGTTCAGGTGAACAGCATTTATAAGCACTGAACAGTTTTGTGCGTGTGGGTATGGATGTGTTCAGGTCAACAAGTATTTATAAGCACCTACTACGTGCCACGAGCTGTCCGAGCACCTGCGCTTTGTCTGAGCCTGTTGATGATGTCACACGTCTGGGTCTAACTTGTAGACAATAGAGGGGAAGCTCTCAGAGGGCAGGGGATATTTCATCATCGTCTTGGGCCTGGAACGTTCAGATGCTGGCCTGGACCGGGAACTTGCCCCAAGGTAGCATCTATTTAAGTTCAGAGAGCCTGCCAGGCAACCTTCTTGCCACTTCTGGTCCCTGGCAGAGCTTGAACCCAGCTCTTCGGGACACCTGTGGTGCAGTAGCGGAAGTGCCCGGGGCCTTGCACCCAGTAGGTACCTAAGGTTTGCGTGCTCGTTTTGCGGGGACAGACCGGGAAGAGGAGGCTGAGTGTGTGCAGAGAGTGAGCGTGTGTGGGGGGAGGGCGTGTTTCCTAAGCCCTCTCACTTCTTTCCATTTCGGGCGTCGGGGCTAGCCGCAGCAATGTTGGCAGCCCCGGCGGCTCCCGTCCGATCCCCGTCTCATCGCGTCCCGCTGGAATCCCGGACGCCCGCTCGGCCGCTCGGCCGCTCGGGGCGGGGGTGGGGGTGGGAGTGAGGGTGAGCCCTCCCACCCCGGCTCCGCCCCGCGGGCCCCGCCCCGCCCCCGCCCCGCAGCGCCAGGAAGCGTCCGGAGCCGCCTGGGGCCATGGACGGCGCCGCCATGGACGGGGCTGCCATGGAGGGACCGCTCTTCGTGCAGAGTCAGCGCTTCGGGGCCAAGGTGGTGGCAGGGGCGCGGGGCTCGGGGCAGCGGTCTGGAGGGAGCCCCCGGGTGAGGGGAGGGAGGAGAGGCCGGGGACCGGGGTTAGTCCGGGAGAAGTTTCTCCCCAAACTCCGGAGGAAGTCCCAACCTCTCCACGCTTCCTCCATCCTCGGCCGGACGGAAATACGCCCACCCCCACTAGGGAGTTCCGCCTCCTTTAGGAAATCCCACCTCTCCCGGGATTGAGGGGTGGGGGAGGCCTAGTACCCTCGGCCCCTAGTCTGGGGTCTTTGCTGGGCCCCTCCCTTCTACGGCAGCTTACCTCTGAGGTTGGAGACCTGGGCTGGCCCAGCCATGTTCCCTCTCATTGTCTCCCTCCCCCTTTCCCCCCCAGAAGAGGTGCTGGACAGAATGTATGGAGTCCCTTCCCTTCTCAGGGTCGCCCTGCCTCTCTCTATACCCACTTCTCATAGGGCTACCTTTATGTTCAGCCCCTCTATATCTCATTTCCTGGTTTTCCCTACATGTTGTCCCCATTTCCCCACCCCACCCCAACAAACGGGTAGTAAGATAAGGCTGTTGTTTTACATAAAGAGCCAGTCTTATGGTGTGTCCCATATTTTCCCATATCTTCCCTCCCTTCCAATGTCTCCATGTCTCTTTTTTCCCAGTGCTTTCTCACAGTGTTTCCTTGAATCTCTTCCTCTCAATGATCTCTCTATATATATACATATATATATATACTGACTTACATATATATGTATATACTGACTTCCACCTACCCTTGTTCCAAAGGTTGAGGCATCCCTATTTTTATGAAACTCCCTTTTCCCATGTCCGTTCTCAGTATCTTCCTCATGTTTTCCTCTCCCCAAATAGCTTCTCAAAGTATTTTCCCACGTTCTCCCCACTATAGAAGTGGAAGAAGACCTGGGCAGTCTTGTACCCCTCCAGTCCCAACGGTGTGGCCCGACTTGAGTTCTTTGAGCACAAAGGGTCAGGCTCTGGAAGCGGATGGGGAGGCTCTCGTCGCCTAGACTGCAGAGTGATTCGCTTGTCAGATTGTGTGAGTGTGGCCCCTGTGGCCTTGGACAGCCCTCCAGGACCTGGTACATCAGTCTTCCGACTGGACACTGCTCAGCGCTCCCACCTCCTGGCAGCTGAGGGTCCCGCCAGTGTCGCTTGGGTGCAAATACTCTGCCAGACTGCCTTTCCGGTGAGAGGATTGAGTGAGCGGGGATGCTGTCCAGGGTAGTTCGTTTAGTGAGGGGGCAAGGTTCAAGGTCAGTGTCCCCTCCCCACCAGCTTGATTGGGCTAAGACCCCAGCTGGAGAGCACTGTGGTTGGATTATAGGATCACTGATACTTTCTCCCCTGCAGAAAGGCTGCTGGTCTCTGGCTCCAGGAGAAAGCTCTTCTGGGCCCTCTTCAATGGAGATGCAGGAGAACTCCCTGTATAGCCCCCATGGGCAAGGTAGGCATACAAGGAGAAAGGGATGGGGAGAGGGAGGTCCAGGGGACTGTGGAAGGGAGAGCATACCATGACTTTGGAATAGGGATTCCACATGGGGCTGAGGGTCACCTGTAGGATTGGGGAGAGGGGATGTGAAGCTCCTGTGGGTCTAGTGTCTAGGTGGGATCCAGTCCCTGGCAGGACCTGTGCGTTTTTCCCCCTCTCCATCTGGGAATGTTCCTGTTTGACCCTCCATCTCTCCCCAGGGTCCGAGTTCTGGGTGACCATCCAGAAAACAGAGGCATCTGAGCATTGTGGGTTGCAGGGACACTACCTGCTCAGGGTGGAGGCCGATGGTCTGAGTCTCCTGGTGCTGGGGGGGCAGGGTCAGAAGAAGGAGCCCCTGCTGTCCTGGCCCTACACTCTTCTGCGTCGCTATGGCCGGGATCGGGTAAGGGGTTGGGAAGGGGCAGATGTCCCACTATAGAAAGGTTTGGGCTCAGTCTCAGGATGTATGGAGGGGAGGGCCAGGAGAGTATGATGGGTCCCCCTTTGCTGCAGCTGTAAGACTAGTCCCTCGTTTGAGCCAGTGGCTCTCCTCAGACCCATGTGGCAGCAGCATGGAGAGGAGGACTGCTGCTAGGATGACCTCGGGCAGCCTCTTCTCTCCTGAGCATCAGTTTCCTCACCTGTAAGATGGGCTGGAAAGGATAATCTTGGTAGTCTCTGCCTGCTCTCCAGCTCATAGTTGCCTTCTCCCCCTCTGCCTCCAGGCCATGTTCTCCTTCGAGGCTGGACGGAGGTGTCCCTCAGGCCCTGGAACCTTCACTTTCCAGACCTCACAGGGGAATGACATCTTTCAGGCTGTGGAGGCTGCCATCCAGAGGCAAAAGGCTCAAGCTGGCATTCTTGCTGGAGCTGGCCCAAGCCTGGATCAGCAGTGTCCTGGCTCATCAGAGGTGGGGATGGTAGGGGCTGCCTCCCATGGCCTTGAAGATCCCCATGAGGATGGCCCTGCCCTCTACTCAGAGCCCCTGGATGCCCTTCGTTCACTGCCTGACTCCTCTCCAGACCCCCTGTACTCAGATCCTGTGGATAGTTCGGGCCAGAGGACAGGCCCTGGGCCTGGTGTAAGCTCCCCGCTCTACTGGGGCTTGTTTGAACAGGTGCAGCAACAGCTTAAAGATACAAAGCTGGGAGGAGTCAAGAAGGAGCCCATTTATGATGAGCCTGAAGGCCAGAGCCCAGCCCCACCTCCAGGCCTTTATGACAAGCCCCTGGAGCCCAGGGATGCCTGGTGCCAGCGAGCTCGGGTGCAGGATGAGGGCTATGAGCTCCCCTATAACCCTGCCACGGATGACTATGCTGTGCCCCCTCCAAGGAACCTCAAGCCCATTCCACCCCCCAAGCCCCAGATGCTCCCCGGTTCTAACAGCCCCAGCAGCCTGGGACTCCCGGTGTACAGCCGGGTACAGAAGGGTGCTGCTGCCGCCAAGGGCTGGGGCCAGGGTATGCCTGAAGGGGGATCTCAAACCAGGACTGGGATGAGATCAAAAGGACCAATGTAAAGACCTGGATGGGCTTGAAGGGCCTAAATGGGCCAAGAGGACATCTACATGAACTGGGGAGGTGGGTGATCCCTTGGGAGAAGGGAGACCTATTTGGGACTAGGTGGTATCAGTGAATCAAGGTCCAGGCCTCAGGATTCCAGGGCATTAGGAAAGGACCAGACCTTGTGACCAAGTAACAGGTCTTGGGTCTAAGGGACAAGACCTGGAACAGGGCAGGGTCCAGGGGAAGGAGTCCTATGTTGAGGCTGAACCCTGGTCAGAACAGGGGACTTTGGGCAACCCTGCTGTGACTCCTGACTAGTTGTTGGGGGTGTGTGGTGGGGTGGGGGGTGGTCTAGAAGGAGTCTGATTTCCCACCCTGAGCTGCCCTGTGCCATGGACACTTAAACTCATTAAAATCACTTGGGGCCAAAGAGGGCTCTGAATGGCCATGTCTGCAATGAATAACCAGAAAGTAGAACACAGCCTGGACACTGTGTTTACATTAGGGTTAAGTGGTGGAAGAAGGGCAGGAGAGAGGGATTGGGGGAGAAAGACACCAGGTGGAGGGTGGGCCGCCAGGTATGGGCTGGCACAGCAGAAGATTGGGTTTCAGAAAGGATGCTGGATGTCACACACAGTCATCTAGCTCTGCCTGTGGGCTGGATTACACTCTAGAATACCTCAGGAAAGGAGCTCCCACGTCTGAGGACAGAGTTCCCGTTCTTAGTGTTTAGCCCACAGTAGGTGCTCGCATCATGGCCTGTACCTGTCCTGTAACCAGGACCCTGTAACATGACTCTGCTGTGTTCTGGAATATACCCTGCCTGTGCTATTCCTCTGACCTCTGACAGGCCTTCCCTGCCGGAGTCCTCTGCCTGGGCTCTGCAAACAGAATTTCTGTCCTTCAAGGCACAGTTTCCCAAATCCAGTCCGCTTGTTTGCATATAAAGGCTCCAAGGGGGAAAAGCTGCTTTTTATTCAATGGGAAGAGAAAGCTTGGAATGGTAACCAGGTTATTGTTGAATTGAGCCCTAGCAACAGCAAGTACACTGATGGGCCCTCTGCTGGAAAGGGGCAGTGTACCTGGGTGTGCATCCTTGAGAGCTGACACAGCGTCATACCAGGGTAGGGTTCCTGTCACCTCTAGGTATTGAAACCATCCTAGTCCTGGGCTGACATCCCGAATCAGATCCCCCTGCCTCCAGTGCATGAGTTCTGCCTGCTGCAGACACCCACACCCACACCCACACCCACACCCACACACACACAGGTCTTTGTGGAGGAGGAGGATGAGCAGGCCTGGACAAACACTTTACCCAGATCTTGCTGTGAGTGGGGCTGAATCAATCTGAGTCTCAGAAAAGTTGTTCTTCATCATCTGAAAGCAATAGCACAGGCTCTGAGGATGCCTTTTTGGCTGCTGGCATCTTTGGGGCCCTTGAAGGAGGCAGGCTGGGCACCAGGGGCAGAGGGGGCACTGTAGCTCGGGCTCGGTGCGGGTGCAGTCTTCCAACCTGCAGAAAGAGGAAGCAAAGCCTTTTTGAGGGGTAGAGGGACAGGCTACCTGGGTGGGATGGGAGCCCTGACGGGGTTCTTGGCATCCAAGCCTGCCTTATCTTGACCTAGCCTCACTAAATGCCTGCCATAGGCCTGAGGGGGTACACACCTGTAGCTCCCAAAGTTGTCTGGGCAGGAAGGGGATCTGGCAAAGGTATCTGGTTCCTCACCCATGGCTCCCTTCCATCCCCACCTTGCTGGTTCTCCTGGTCCCAGTGCTGGATCCCTGCCACCACCCATACCTAGGCACAAGCTATGCCCTGGTGCCCTTTCTGTCCTCTGTAACAGCTTCCTTAGTTTCAGCTGAGATAAGACTGGGGATTTAGTAAGTTTTTTAAACCAACAAATCCAACAGAAACAAACATCACAACCTTCTGCCTATTCTGTTCCCCCAAACTTGTTTCCCCTCATGACTTTCCCCTTCCTGCTTGGAGCACCACCATCCTCCCAGCCTTCTGGGTTTAGCCCCTCAGAGGGAGCTCTAACTTGCTGGTTGCCAGGCAGTTTTCATGATATTTCTCAAATTTGTCTGTTCCTTTCCATTTCCCTGGTCAATCCACTTGCTTGGGCCCTCATCCCCTCTCATTTGGACTAAGAGGCAGTTTGTATGGCGCAAGCACATCGGACCTGGAGTCAGAGGGCCAGGGTTCAAATCCTGGTTATAATTCCTAATACTTATATCTGATCTTGGGCTTCTCTGGATCTGAGCTTCCTCATTTCTATAATGAAGGGGTGGACTAGCTCAGAGGTCTTAATCTGGTGCCAGTGCACCTTGCATACACATATATACATGCATACATATACACATACAGCTGCATTCCAGTATAATTGGTTTCCTTTTATGCATTTAAAAATATTCTGAATAGGGGCCCAAAGGTTCCCCCAGGGTGTCAAAGGAGTCCATGACATAAAGAAAGGCTGAGACCCCTGGCCTGGATGTCTCAGGTTGGCCCCTTTACAGTTGTAAATTCTATAATCTGGTGACTATTTTAACAGGCTCCCCAAGTCTCTTTACTCGAATCCATCCTTCACATGTGGTTGAGTAATCTTAATGATGCACAGGCCTCACTCCAACATCCTGAGTGGTTCCCTAGGACAAAGCCCACTCTTCAGGAAGCAGCATTCAGAGCCCCACTCATCTTGGCCTTCTTAGGCTGCTACCAGTCCGGCCTCTTCCTGCTGGCCCACGGATAACCTCTGCTCTGCTGACTCTGCTTTCCTGTCTCCAGTGATCTCCCCATTCCTTCTCAGCTCTCCCCTGCAGCGTGCCTTTTGTACTGCTCTTGGTGTCTCTGCTTATGGGGATGTGTCTACACAGCACTGGAGAGGGATGACAAGCCTGGCTTACTTCAGGCCCTCGTCCTCTGCTTTCTTGGGGGGTGGGGTGGGATGTGGGGGTCTGGCCAGAGCTCTAGTCCCTGCCCTCACCTGAGAGAACTGAGAGCTGAAGGGCTAATGGTCTACCTACCCCCCCTTTCTATTTTGGAGGAAGTCATCATATTCAGCATGAGTAATATGAGAAGCCTCAGATGTGTTGATGCCTATGCTGAATTGCCCTACCCCAGGAAGGGCTATGGGGCACTTTCCTTACAGGAATAATTCCTTCTCTCATGGGCCTGGACCCTATTTCTTCCCTGATTCCACGGGTAAGTCTAGATGCACTGAGGATGGAGCTTCATTTGCCTGGACACCGGACTCGGGATGAGGGCTGGTGAGGGACCCCTGGTCTGGCATAAAGGATTCCAGGCCTTTAAATTCTGGTTTTCCGGTAGTCATACCTGTTTAGGGGGGCGGAGCTCCCGACCTGAACTGAGTAGCCCCTGGGGCTTGGACAAGATGCTTCTCAGGTGTTCATATAGATGGCTCTTAATCTCCAGGGGATTATAGGTGGATGCCACCTCTAAGCCATCCAAGGTGTTCTGAGGAGAGGGAGGGAGGAAAGCAGAGAGGGAAAAGAACAAGCATTTATTAAGTACGTACTATATGCCAGGGGCTGTGCTGAGTGCTCTACAAATATCTCATTTAACCTTCTGGGGAAAGTTGACGGGAACTAAGAACAGTTATCCAAAGTGAGGAATGTTAGGGGCCTCAAAAATGGCACCCAGCCTGGCTCACAAAGCTCGTTACTCTGAAAGCGGAACATCCTGGGCGGTTACATGGAGTGTGTCACAGAGTTCACTTAGTGTGAGGCGTGTGAGTATCATGGGGAACGTAGAGGATGGAGATGCATTACAGGTAATTACTGCCAGCCCTGGCCCAGAGATGCGTGTCCCAGGAATGTGAGTCACTGTCGGAGTCCCAGGTGACCCAGTGTGACTAGGGCCAGGAGAGGCATGCTAGAGGTGGGTACAGCATGTCCTCTGGCCCTTCGAGGCGAGAGAGAGCCCCAGGCAGGGAATACACGAGGACAGCATTCCTGAGCAGTCAGGTTTTCCTACCACAGCATCCTATGCCAGGAACCACTGGCCTCAGAATGAGACTGGGAGAGCCTCAGGATTGCATCCTCAGGGCTGGATTGGGCTTGGCCTCCTCAGGGGTGGGTGGGCTCAGTGCTGCCACCTGATGCTTTGCCTGCCCCTCCCCACCTTCATCGTCGTCTAGTTTCCACTGCAGGCTTAGGATGTGGGACTCTGGAGCAGGCACAATATATGGTCAGTGCTCCAGTGGAGGAGTAGCTGTCTCCCTAGGCTTCCTGTCTGGGAAGGCAGACAGAGCAGGTACAAGGCCAAGCCCTTCAGGATCAGGAAAGGGGAATGGGAGTGGTGGTGGGATGGCCTTCATGCTGCCTCCTCCTTTGTAGTACAACCTCATTTTGAGGCTAATTCTGCTGGGGGACTGCCAGCAAAGTCTTCCTGCCCTGCCCACCTCACCACATAGGCCCAGACAGAGACAAAGAAATAGATAGACAAAGACCTACACACATACAGAGGTGTGGCATTTGCTGCCTCAGGGGTAATGAGTTCTCCCTCCCTGGAAGTTCAGGCAAAGGCCCAATTACAGAAAGGTATCGAAGGGATTCCTGTTTAGGTATGGGTTGGATTATATACCCTCTGAGGTCTCTTCCAACTCCGAGATGTGATTCTGCACAGAACCAGTAACACAAAGGCAACACACAGACACACACTTATGCTTTTACAGAGTGGCATATCAGACATGCATAGGGATGTTGGGGAATAGACCATCGGAAGTAATGTTGTTTTGATGGTGTGAAGAGTCATTAAATGAGAGGGAAATGAAGAAAACAGCTTTGTACAAATCTGTCAGACATTATACTGGTTGGTCCTGAATCTACCTGAATCTAAACAAAGCTGATGTTATACTAAAACACATGCAGATGAAGCAAGGTATAATATGGGGGACCTTGTGGAGCGTGCAGAAATAAATGAAATGGACACCTTGGGCTGGCAACGGTGGATGGCAAGAATTCAGTTTGGTGACATCGGGCGTGACTAGACTCCTCAGTTTCCATTCTGAGTCTTCTGAGGATTGTGTCAGTGTGGGGCCTGTCATTTTGTTTTTGGTCTTGCTCCAAACAGTAAGCAGACTGAAACTTCCATGGGAATGATGCCCCTTGTTAAACCATTCATTTTCCTTATGTGTTTTTAAAATTTGCCATTTCCTTAAAAACCGATGATGTGGAATTACCAGAAATGAGATGTTAAGCCCATTTTGTTTTTCTTTTTGGCAAGCAAGGACTTAAACATTGGGGGAAAATATCACAGTATCTGGTTGGTCGGTCTTTCTTTGATAATTTCACTGTTGTCAATTCTCTTCAGTTCTTCCGTCACACTCTTATGGACTTAAGCCTCTTCTCAAATTGTGACATTATTTCTGTGGCCATATCTCAGTTTTCCATTTGGCTGGAATTGAACTTCAGGAATTCATGTACCCACTTGCCCTCATGGCTCATGTGGTTACAGCAAAACACACAGAGAGTCAAGTGACTCCCAAATCAAAGAAGTCAGCCCTAATCTCTTCCACAAATGTTAGCTGCCTGACGGCCATTTCCAGTTGTATGTCTAGCTGACATCTCAAACGCCTCTTCCCTGAAAAGCCTACCTCTCCTCTAAACTTTGCTATTTCTGTTGATGGTACCCCTGTCACCCACACAGGCAAGCCTGAAATCATCTTTGATGCATCTTTCTCCTTTGACTTCCAAAATTCAACCACTTTTCAAGTCCTATTAATTCTAATTATATGCCATCTCTTAAATCCCTCCCTTTCTTCTTCTTCTTCTTCTAATTTTATTTTTTTTAGGCAATTGGGGTTAAGTGACTTGCCCAGGGTCACACAGCTAGTAAGTGTGAAGTGTTTGGTCTGAGGCCAGATTTGAACTCAGGTACTCCTGACTTCAGGGCCAGTGCTCTATCCACTGCGCCACCTAGCTGCCCCCCTCCCTTTCTTTCCACTCCAGTTCTCACCTGTACTATTAGTCTATCTGGGTTTCTCCCCTCCCTAATTTTGTGAACATTCTTCACAAGCCTACTGTCTTCCTATGGCACAGGTCTGCCTTGGTGGTCCCTTAGTCAAAAATCTTCAGGGGATCCCGAATGTCTCTGTGATAAAATGCAGACTCCTTTGGATAGAACTTAAGCCTTGATCTAGCTATAATCTACCTTTCCAGTCTCACTTCTCATTATTGACCTTCATTTACTCTATTTATGGTCTACCAGCTCTTTCCTGAACTTTACATTCTTTCTCCTGCTTCTGTTCATTTGCACAGGCTGGTGTATCCTCTCCTCATTTACTTTCAGTGTCACCTTCTTCGTAAAGCCTTCCCTGATCTCCCTTCTCAACTTTTTCTGGAGCACAATGCCTATGTGAATTCTGTCTTATTCACACTTTACCTCATATCATACTTATCTCTGTACATGTTGTGTTTTCCCAGCAGAATATAAGCTTCTCGGGCACAACAATTAAGTAATTTTTTTATCTCTGCATCCCTAGGGCTTTGCACAGTGCCTCACACATATTTGGGGTTAAATACATGCTTGCTGAATCAGACAGATACAGAGATGCTGGGATTCTGACACAAACACATGGCTGCATAAAGACATTTGGCAAACACAAACAGGCACAAAGACAAAGGCATGCACATGGTCACTGAGACAGTGTCTCTAACACATGGAGACAGATGCAGACATAGAGATGCACAAAGACATACACAAATCAACATGTATATACATATAGATAGATAGATATCCTCTCTTCTCTCTTTTCTTTTTTTTCTTTTTTTTCGGTGAGGTAATTGGGGTTAAATGACTTGCCCAGGGCCCACAGCTAGTGAATATCATGTGTCTGAGGCCAGATTTTAACTCAGGTCCTCCTAACTCCAGGACCGGTGCTCTATCCACTTGGCCACCTAGCTGCCCCCTCCCCTTTCTCTTTCTCCTCACTTTGATCTTTTTTCTGTCCTTTATTCTTATTCTCCCTCTTCCTCAACTTTACCTTTTTTTTTCTCCTCCTGACCCTTCACTTTCTTCTCCCTCATTTTGCCACCTCCTCCCCCAACCCTCCTCCAACCATCTGGTGCCAAGAAAATTGAAATTTGGAATTTGTCTACAAAAGCTTGCTGGGCATCATCTTCCTTCTGTGCTCTTCCCTACTGCCATAGGTCCAAGGCAGCAGTGCACCCCTCTGTGGCAACATTTTTCCTTCAAGGGCTGTTCTATGTTCATTTAAACCAGATTTCACCTTTAAAAGAAGGTGCAACTCTACCTGCTCACAACCCTCTCATATCCTTTCCACTACTGAATCCATACTTCTCTGTACTCATTTCTTTTCCTGCCCAGGCTTCTCTCTATCTTTTTTCTCCCCCTCCTTTTCCTTTCCTTACACTCTTCTTTCCCCTCTTCCATGGGTCTGTCTGGTCCATGCCCCATTTACCTCCACACTCCTAAGGATGTCCTCAGGTGGGTCCTCAGGGGGCATAGGGAAGGAGCTGGGCAGCAGCAGCTCACATGTGGCCACCGTCTTGACAAGCATTGTAAGAGAACTGGATGGGAAGATGATGTAGAAGGTGCTGGTGGGACCATTCTGGCTGGGTCCTGGGCTTGGAGGCTCTCTTTTGGCCAATAGCAGCCACTCTCTTTTCTAAAATAAGGAGACATACAAAAACATGCTTAACTTGACCCTTGTCCTTGGCTTCCCCCAAAGTCACAAACAGGGTCCACTGAAAGTGGTAAGGAGACAAAAGCCACTCTTAACATGGCACTGAGCAGGAGAAATTTTATGTTATTCTTGGATAGGCCATTTCTTTTCCCCTCATCAAAGCCTGGTTGGGATGTATGATGGGGATGTGTCATATTGGACACATGGGATATATCAGAGACATGTGCATCAAAAATGCTCTTCTTTCCAAAAGGGCAATTGTATCCTTCTCTGACCAGCCCTTCCCAATATGAGTTGTCTACTCCATTAGAAAGTAAGCATCTTGAGGGCAGGGGCTGTCTCCCTTGTGGATTTGTATCTCCAGTACTTAGCATTTAGTAAATGTTTGATAAATGTTTGTCATTCATTTGTTTGTTCCATAGAGTGGTTCAGGCTAAAAGAAAAGACAAAAGGAGAAACAAAATAGGACCTCAGAAACCAGGTGGGTAAAAGTGAGTCTCTGGCAGAAAGAACACTCCAGTGACTGAGAAGAAATCTCATTTTGGTTTCGAGCTCTGCCCCTAACCCATGGTATAACCTTAATCAAGTTACTTCCCCTCTCCTGGCCTTCTTTTTTTCCTCTGCAAAATGAAGGCATTCCTCCAATGCTCCCTCCAGCTCTTCAAGTGGCAGCAGGATGCTCACTTTTTTGGGGTGTTATAGAGGGTATTCCTTCCTCTTCAGGTATTATTTGAACTAAATTCTCTCTGAGGGCTCTTTTAGCTCTGAAATTCTAGGATTCTGACCTTTCATAATTCTATGGAATATGGTATATATTGCCTGATCCTCTATGGAAGAGGAATCTGAGAGGTGGATGAAGGGAGAATTCTGTTAAGTGTTGTGTGTCTGCTGTGGTTAGGAGGCCACGACACTTTTGGAGGTCAGCAGCAAACAGCAGAAAAATGGTCTGACAGGCTTAAAAATGGTCTTTCCAAGAGCCCAAAATGGAAATGGAAATGGAAAACAGGTAATTTCCTATGGCAATTTCCAGGGCAAATTCATCAAGGACAGCAAGAGAACTGCCACATACAACAACTTGTAGGATTCCAACTATTTATTTTTTTCTGGTTAGGATGATCACCAATATAACTGCTACAAAGGCAGCTGGTCTTTCTGCTAGAAAAATGCCAAGTAAAGTCTTTTCACATTCTGGTTTTTTAGAGAGGATGAAGGAAACTGTGCGGAAAGAAGCCAAAAGGAAAAAAAAAGTTCTGTAGGGGTGGACCGTGGCTTGGATGAGAATGCAAAAGGCATAACAAATACACTTAAGTCTAGCCAAAGGCAACAGGCAGAGAGGGGAGAAAGAGAGAAAGAGCAAGCACTAATGTAAAGAAAGACAGGATGAAACAAAATGATCTCAAGGGTTTGGAACTGGGGACTGAAAAAAGAAATGCAAAATTTCCTTCAATACTTTGAGGACCTAGAAGAATATAAACTCCTTGAGGGTAAGAACTTTCATTTTTGAGGCTTAGCAGAGTGCTTTGTGTGTAGTAGGTACTTGGTGAATATTTGTTTGAACTGAGTTGGATCCATGGTTCCATCAGCTCCTTCTACCACAGAAACCATAGGCCTGCTGCACTAGAGAAGATGGTTTCATGAGTTGTAGTGGCACCTTCCTCTACCCCTCCAAATTCTTCTGGTGCTTAACCTGTTAATGAGCTCCTCCTTGCCTAGTTGGGCTGCTCTTTGTGTGACAGGGGGATGGTCTGCTTCTGGACTCATACTCATAGTTTTTCCAGCTTGATGGGACCTGCCAGGGCTCTTGAGAATGTCCACTAAGGCAAGGGTTCTGTTTTGGTCATTCTTGATATACCCAGAAAGTAGCCTGGCAAAGTAAACACATTAAACACTTGACTGACCTGTCATAATGAGATATCAGAGAAGACCTTTAGTGGGGGAAGATGAAATTTAACAGAGATAAATACGAACACTTGTTCAGGAAGAGAAGAGGGGAAATTTTACTAAAGTTTATATGAAAAAGTCCTGGGGTTTTTAGTTCTTATAAGCTCTATATGAACCTACAGCGTGGTAAACACATTCAAGATTATACTTGATCTTGTCTGACCACATCTTGAATACTGTGTTCAGTTCTGGGACCCACTGATAAGTTACGGTGTCCAGAAAAGGGAGAAGAGGATGGTGAAGAGGCCTGGGAACTAAATTAGATGAAGAAGAGATGATGGAGAAGGGCCAAAGATGAAAAACCCCTAGAAGCCCATCTCCACTTCAGTAAAAGTGGAGAGGGAGCTGTCCATAGCTGCAGATCCTATGGAAGAATGTAGTAGTAATAATAATAATAATAGCTAATATAGCACTTATTATGTGCCATGCACTGTGCTAAGTGCTTTACAAGTATTATTTCATTTGAACTTCACAACAGCCCTAGGAGATAGGTGCTATTATTACCCCTGCTTTACAGTTGAGAAAACTGAGGCAGACAGAGGTTAAGTGACTTGCCCAGGTTATACACAACTAGTATATAGTTAGTATCTGAGGCTGGATTTGAACTCAGGCCTTCCTGACTCCAGGCCCAGTAATCTATCCACTGTGCTATCCAGCTGCCTCCATATTTGTTTAAAAGTCTATAGGGTGGCTGAGTTACTGAGCCGCGCCTGACAAATTACAAAAAACTTCTCTTAAGCTCAACCACTTTTGCTTGATCTTCTGCTTATCTGGCTTTTCTTGACCCTCCCTCAGCCTTGGACTTGCTTCCTTTCTTGCATTCTGCTGACTTGCCCTTCAAGATAAGGAAAGCTTCTTGCCTGTGCTCCAGGCACTATAGGATGCAGGAGTCCATCCAGTCCAACCCTCTCACTTTACCAATGAGGAAGCAGGCCCAGGGAGGTTAAAAAAGGTACTATATGACGTGATCTCTTTTCCCAAGACACTGTGTTTGACTATCTGGCAGCTGATCTGTTCCTACTCAGGAGACCTGCCTGTCCTCTTTTTGGTCCTTTCGGACTCAGACTGTGCAGTGTAAGCTCTTACCTTATCTTGGCCCTTACCATACAATACTCTGCTACCTTTCAGTTGGTGCCAGGGAAGATTTCTGGCCTCATCAATTTGCTGGTCCCACCTTCCCGTCCATCTCCAGGAGCAGGAACAGGGAACAGGATACCCCACACAGATCATTGTCTTTAAATAGTTGTGTGTAGTAGGTACTTGGTGAATATTTGTTTGAACTGAGTTGTATCCATGGTTCCATCAGCTCCTTCTACCACAGAAACCATAGGCCTGCTGCACTAGAGAAGATGGTTTCATGAGTTGTAGTGGCACCTTCCTCTACCCCTCCAAATTCTTCTGGTGCTTAACCTGTTAACAATCTATTTAACTGTACTGTCATTCAGTCCACATTTTTCCTTTTGTCCACAAGGATACCATGGAAAGACTTTATTGAATACTTTGCTGAAATCAAGCCACACTAGACTTATGATCTGTCAACCTAGTAATCCTGACTGAAAGAGAAATGAAGTTTGTTTGGTCTGAGATATTCTGAGATGTCCTAGGGATCAGTGACTGCAAACTTTTTGATAATCTTCTCCAGACTTGTATGAGGAGAGACAGAAGGCTTCTCTAAGTCCATCCCATTACCCTCTCTGAAAATTGGGCTACCATCGGCTTGTCTCTGGCGCTTCTTCCTTTCTCCCTGATTCTCAATGAGTCCCGACAGAGAAGACAGAGCAAGTTTTTCCAAAATGAAGCTGAGGCCAGAGACTCAAATTCACTTCAAGCTGCAGGGTCTCTCTTAGGATATTCTTCTTGGGTTCGATTTCCTAGCACAATGTGTGCTCTTGCTTTCTTTGTGTGCCAGATCGCTGCCCTTGTCAGAGAAGACAGAAGTAACATCATCTCAGCCCATCTCATTTTCTCTGTTGCTTATTAATATTACTCTTTCTTCCTCAAGTGGTGGGTCTGTCACTTCCTTTTTGGTGGCTTAGCATTATTCACAAACCTCAGCTCATTAGGGACTTCAGCTTGCCTGACAATATTTTTACAGCTGACGAGAGACCTGGATGTGAGGCCAGAAGCCTGGGTGTAAGTTGGATCCCCACCCTAAATTACCCTGTGACCATGGACCAGTCACTTAAACCCTCCTAGCCTGTTTAATCACCTGCAAAACGGGGCTAATAATACAGAAAAATAATAGGTAAAATGAGATCAATATTTTGAAAGTGCTTTATAACCACAAAGCTGCAATATTAGAGGTTTTAAAGTGGAGGCTGAACATCGGCTTGTCAGGGAGGCCGCTGAGGGGCAGGAAGTTAGCCCATTGGAGCCCTTTAACAGGAAGTTCTAGCTCTCCATAGTAGGAATATAGTTGCTTTTCGACCTTCGAGCCCAAGGTGAAGTGTAGTCACCCACACAGGTCATTGTCCTTGTTACAGGTCTGTGCCCCTCCTTGTAGGCTTCTGAGGTTGAGTGCCCCTCCTTTTGGCTTTTGCAAATGCCCTTTTAAAACCGGGCCTCCCTGGGCAGCCAGACTGGCTCTACGTGGGTGCAGGACTCTCCTCCTGACTGCGCTTTTTCTTCCACATCAGATCTCCACTTGGGGCAGTTTTGAGAGGGATCCAGACTAGGGCGCCGCTAATGGCTGAGTGTGGTGATGAGAGTAACTTTTCTGTTCCTGGATCTGAGACAGAGCTTGTTGGGCTGGGCCAGAGAGAAGCAGACAACGAGGAGGGATGATAAACAATAATGAAAATAACAGCAACAACAGCGATGATGAGGACGGCTCACACTTCTGTGGTTTACAAAGCACTTCCCCCATGTGGTGCAGGTATTCTTATCCCCATTGAACAAATCAGGACATGAAAACAGAGTGAAGATCATTTGCCAACGATCCAGCTGTGTATGCTCATGCTTCTTTTCCACTGGGCAATCTATTAGAGATGGTCCTAGCTTGAGAGCAGAGACTGCCCCGTCTACACACTGAGAGAGGCTCACAGCTGGCCCAGAAAGCCAGCCCTCTGCCATGTAGACAGACAGCCACATCCTGTGTGGACAGTCGATCAGGGAAGAAATCATTATAGCAGAACCCAGGCCTGCTCACGCTCCTGGTCCTCCAGCCACAGTCCATTTGGCATATACTGGGCTACCTACCACAAGGACTACCCTTTCACTAAATTACTTGAGGACACCATATCAATCTAAATGACTGAATCTGGCATTCAAGGCTCCTCCACACTACAGCCAGCCCCATTCTTCCTTCATTCCAACTAATCTAGCAGGCAACTCTACTGGCTCATGCCTTCTGCTGACCCTTGACATTAACAGTGGGGTGGGGGGTGGTAGAGGATACAGCAGGGACCATTTGCTATCACTGAGTTTCAGGGACTCCGTTCTCTAAAGCTCATTTAATTTGCCGTTAGTGTTGGTATGCTAAGATTGTCAAACCAGCCTTCTTTTACCACATTCGCAGTGAAGTGTGTGAGTGAACAGAGAAATGAGTGGTCAGACTTGGGGCTCCCAGAAGGTTACTGTGGCCTGAGTGCAGCGTTGGGTCTTTTCTCCTGTCTCTCTATGCCCTTGTGTGTGGTCACCTGCTGCACCTCCAGGCCAGGTACAGGAAGCTCATGTGCTGTGTCTAATGCGGCACACAGTTAGAATCTGCCTTGCTTGACAATCAGGCACAGAGTGCATCTGAGAAGGCATTTGAGCAGTATTTGTGTATCCTGAGGTTTCTCTGGGGAACTGCATGTTATTTCTTAAAAAAAAAAAACAAAAACCAAAACCTCAGCAAGCATCTATTAAGCATTCACTATATGCCAAGTACTGTGCTAAGTGCTGGGGACACAAAGAAAGGCAGAAATAGTCTCTCTCCTAAAGGAGCTCACATTCTAATGGAGGCTACAATATATAAATGACTAGGGATGCAGAGTAGTAGTGGGCAGCAGGCTAGGGGGCACCACAGAGAGACTGCCTGGCCAGAAGTTCAAATCTGACCTCAGATACTTCCTAGCTGGGTGACTTTGGGCAAGTCACTGAACCCTGTTGGTCTCAGTTCCTCATCTGTAAAATGGGCAGAAGAAGGAAATGGCAAACTATTTTAGTATCTCTAGCAAGAAAACTCCCCGTGGGGTCAGGAAGAGTTGGACACGACTGAAACGACTCAACAACAACGTGTAGAACAGAGGTGCTACCAGCTGGTGCCTGGAGTTGTGCATTATTTCCTCCATGACTGAGGGCAATCTCCTTTCCCTCTTGTCTTTCAGTGGGAGTCTTGGAGACTCTCTGTTCAGGCCTCCCCCCGCCCCACCTGATAGAATGATGTTCCAGCACCGGCAGCCAGGTCAGGGGCCTTCCTCTCTCTCTTCCTCCTCCCTCCCTCCCTTCCTTCCTCCCTCCCTTTCTTCCTCCCTCCCTTTCTTCCTCCCTCCCTTCCTTCCTCTGTCCCTTTCTTCCTTCCTCCCTCCCTCCCTTCCTTCCTCCCTCCCTCCCTTCCTTCCTCCCTTCCTTCCTTCCTTCCTCCCTCCCTCCCTCCCTTCCTCCCTTCCACATCTGGGTTCACACTTGCCTCCTCTGAAGGGCCTTTCCTTATCACTCATTCCCTCTGGCCTGGACCCCACCTTTAGTGTTCTCCCCTCTACCCCGGGGGCATCTGCTCTCACCTGAACTCTATTTGTACTGCTTTCTCAGTGTTACTACCTTGGTTTTGTCAAGCTCCTCAGGGAGCCTGGCAGATTTCTCTGGAGAACTGCATGTTATGCTGGATCGTATACATTGCTCTACTTTCCTCACCTCTTCTCCCCTCCGGCCTCTTACTGCTGCCTGATACTTGACAGCTCAGTTTAACAAACCAGGGGTTTCCCAGTGGTCTCACATTGATTCCAGGGACTCTAAGTCTCTCAGAAAGAGCCTAAAGACAGTCAGACCTGCCCTAGATGTAGGAGTCTCTCCTTAACTCTATGGGGACACAGGGCTGAACCAGGGAGTATGTACAAGGGGATGATGGAGTGAGGGCTGTAGAGCTCTAATTAGGAATATCATTACCTAGAGCAAAATTAGTTGAGCCTGCTTGAGGGCCAGGGAGGAAGTCGTGGTGGGTAACAGGATTCTGTAGGAGTTGAGGGTGTTATGGCCTGAGGGTGAGTGCATGGTAGAGTAGAGCAGAACAGGCTGACATAGGACTTTGAGGCAAGGTACAAGGACTGTAATCACCACAGGGAATGTATCTCTTGTCACTCTCCCCCCACAGTGGCACCCTGGGGCAGAGACCCTTTTGCCTCACGCTGGGGGGGGGGGCGGGGGGGATGGGTGTTGATTTTGGGGCTTATGCCTATTTGATGGCTGGTACTTCAGTTTTCCCACCTCTTGCCACCCAGTGACATGGGAACTTACCTGCAGGCTGTGACACAAAGCATGGAAACGTTGCTGGTTTGTCTCCAGCTCATCCCAGTCCAGCTGCCAACAACTTGTTGGCCTGATGATGAATGGGAGTCCATACGTCACCGACTCGCAGACCCCACTGGATTCTAGAGCCCTGGGACAAGATGAGAGCAGGGACAGAAGGAACATTCTAGGGTATCCAAGTCTATCCCAATTGGGCCCAAATCCAAATAGTCACCACGAGGGCTCAGCCCCGGCTGACAGTGAGAACCATCTTCTCCGGCACATCCTGCACAGCCCTGCTGAGGATGCCCACCCCATGCCCCTTAGCAGCAGTTATAGTAGCAACAATATTTTTCAAATGCAAACACTTATTAAGTGCAGAACAATGTGCTGGGTGCTGGAGGAGTTACCAAGTTTAAATAGGAGTGCTCATTGATAAGAGGCTTATGGCCTACCTGGGCACTCTTTCTTGCACCAGGGATAGGAGACAATCAAAACTAAACAAAAACGAGTCTTTGGCCTCAAAAAACTTCCATTGTCTCTGGGGAGACAACCCATATACACATAAGTATGTACAAAGTAAATATGGGATCACTTTGGACAATGGGAGACACTGGTACAGCTTGGGATTCTGAGATGAAGGGGAGGAAGGAGGACATTTCAGGCTTGTGTAAAGACTTGGAGCTGGACAATGCAATGTCAAGTGTGAGGAACAAGAAGAAGGCTGCTTTGGCTGGAATGAAGGTTGAGTAAAGTAGAGCAATGTATACAATCCAGCAGGAAAGGCAGGTTCTGAGTATGTGGAAGTTGATATGATTCCTGAGCAGCTGACAAAGTGGGACAGAAGACAGTTTGAGGGAGATGAGGGAAAGGCAAGGCACAAACTTGGGAACTGGGGACAGACCAGCTCCCTAGAGTTTCAGGCCCCACCCTGGCATGTCTCTTGATTCCCAGCACATGCAACTCCAGACACCACTGGTAATACTGCTTTCTCCTTAGTTGAGCTGAAATTTTATTTGACTTCTGAGTTGAAGATTAGATAAAACTTTGACTAAACCAAGGGACCAAATTACTAAACCAAGTTACTAGGGAAGTCAGCTCTTAACAGTCTCTAGGATTGCATGTGCTAGGATTTGAGAGATGTGGTGGGGGTGGCACAGTGGTAGAGGGCTTGACCTGGAGTCAGGGAGATCTGAGTTTAAATCTGGCCTCAGACTTGTTAGCTGTAAGAAACTCTGGGCAAGTCACTTAACCTTTCTCAACCTCATTTATAAAATGGGGATAATAACAGCCCCTACCTCCCAGGATTAAATGTGAGGGTAAGATGAGGTATTTGTAAAGTGCTTGCAGACCTTAAAGAGCTATATACATGTTAGCTATTATTATGATTATTGTTGGTGTTATTATTATTATTACGCTAAACTCTGTAACTTCTTTGATTGTTATTTCACTGTTTGTTCTGATAAATACGATTGCTTGCTTCTGTGATTGTCCTTTGTACAACTAGCATTTGTGGGAAGAAGGTAAGCTGGCAAGAGGTAGCTATGACCTCCTGGTCCCACTTAGGTTCCCACTCAGAGTTACCAGGGTAAGGGACTGTTATTCCAGACCTCTAAAAGAGCATTATAATCCTACGCTGTTAATATCTGAGGTGTTGGATATCGGTATAATTCTAGCCCAATGCCCTCCTTGGAGCTAGGACAGTGAAGCTGGAGTAAGCATGAAGCCACGGCTGTCCTGGATGCTGCATACTCTCCCCTGACAGGTAATTGGTTCTCCCCCTGCTGTCTACAATGCTAGAAGTTGAAGTCTTCCTTGGAGAAGTAGAATAGGACTTTGCAGATCCCTGAGCATATCTTTCTAAATATATCCATGGCCTACGCAGGCCAGCCATTCTGCAGTAAGGTGTCCAAGGTTCTATCCCAAGTATCTGGTCAGGCAGGACTCCTGGGCTCCTTCACAGGATAGTATCTATTTACTCAGAATTCAATTCATACAAAAGTTTAAGGAAACAAAGTTACTGGACAAAGCAAGCAGAATAGGCGGTTGGAGAGCTCCCAAAATGGCGTCATTCATGCGGTATGCAGTGCCCTGTTCTGAACAAGCTTAGATTCTGATGATAGGAAGGGCAAGGATACTAATAATTATGATTCAAGGGAAAACGTGGTCAAAGGTGTTTCCAACAAAATGCTCTGAGAAATCTAAGGAGAGGGAGATCACTTCCATCTCAGGACAGTCAAAGATGGATTCATGGAGGAAGCAGCGCCTCGGCTGGGCCTAGAAGAATATGAAGCTGGGGAGGAAAGGGCTCCCAGCAGGGCCTGGCAGCAGCCATGAGCAAATGTGAGGGGTGGGGAGAGGGCTGTACTGGAACAGAAGAAAGCCATCTAACTGGATTGGAATAGAAGACTACACTAAGAAGGGTAAAATGAGACGAGGCTGGCAAGGTGGGTTTGAGCCAGATTATGGAGAGGTCGGAATGACAGTCAGAAATGGATACTTTGTTTAATGGGCAACGGGGATCTATAGAACAATAACAGTAATATGGAAAAGACGAACTGATCATAAAAGCTGACATTTATTTAGGGCTTTAGGATTTGCAAAGCACTTTGGGTACACCATTTCCCTTGATGTATGAGCTCCCTGGAGATTTGTGAGTAGAGGAGTGCTAATTGATCACGGAGGTTAGGAAGATTCCATAGGCAGCATGTGTATAGTGATGGTGCTGTCCTAGAAATACACATGTGGAAGGAGATACTCTCACAGGGAGAATATGCAGATACCACAGCCTGGTGATGCACAGGCAGAGTTACCCTCCTTCTCCTCCTTGCCTCTCTCCCACTCCCTTTAGCATTTCCCAAATCTGAAAGTCAGGCCAGTGATCAGTGATCACTTCTCAGGGTAAATTTAAGGGGAAGCAATGCAAAGGGGAGTGATGGGGGATGCTTCCCAATGTCACCATCATTGTCAGTGGCACCATCCAATGACCAGGGTTGGAGTCATTCTCAACTCTTTCCCCCTCCTTGTCCCCAGGTCGTGTGGTTTCTTTCTGGCAACAACTTACAGGGTCAGAGGAGCATGAAGGATACCTATAAGATCATCTAGTCAAACGCCACTGTTGTATAGACTGGGGAGAAGAAGTGACTTGTCTAAGGTCACACAGGCAGTAAGTAGCAGAGCCGAGGCTCTCCTCCTTATGCCTTCTCCATTACTCCCATTTAACCCTGATCTAGTCCAGGTCCTGATGTCCTGCCTGGACTAATATTTTAGAGACAGCCTAAGTTTCTGCTTTTCTGGCAGAAATTCTTGCTTCTACTAACTCCAGAGTAACAAGTCATTAAAGGTCATGGCCATGAATATAAATGAAATTGCTTCTCTCTCCTTGTACTTCTTATCCTAGCCAGCTACATGGAAATATCTTCTCTGGAAAACCTCTAGGCCAGTACCATTAAGGGACTGATTGCTGAGGAGACTGGAGGAGAATAAAAGCAACCTGAAGTGGGGTAGAAAGTTCCTTCATTTCATCAGCATTACAGAATGGGGAACTGGAAGAGACATTAGAGGTCCACTTGTACAACGCCCTTATACAGATGAAGAGAGTGAGGCCCTGACTTGCTTAAGGTCGAGTCAAATGAGGATTCAAAGCCAGGTCCTCGGTTTCCAACCCCAGCACTCCTTCTACTCATTCTAAGCAAGCTGCCTTTGGATGCTGTATAGCTCCCCGTCCCGTTCCTGTCCAGGCTTCAGGGCTTGTCAATCTTTCAGGCACCTCACCACATGCAGGGAGCCTGGAATTTTCATTTGATGCAGGGTACTGCTTTCTACACCACCCCCTGGCCTTGGCTCCCTGTGTATCCTGACCTCACTCCTTCATACCCCAGGTGCACATGCTTTCATGAACTGAGTGCTCCCCTCCTAACCCTCAGGCTGGCAGGCAGAGATTGCCCTGAGGTCCACAACCTATTTGAGGATTGAACTGTAGACTCCTGAGTCTGCACTGATGGGCCCTGGGGGGTCTAGGGACACTCTGGCACCTTACTTGATCACCCGGAGTCTGTAACATGACGCTGCTGATTCGGGGGCCATCTGGTAGAATGAGCTGAAGTCTCCTCCGGGGCTCTCTGCTGTGCCAGGGAGGAGGGCTGGGTTAAGAAGCCGCTCTTGAAGATCACATTTCAGACACACTGCAATAAAACAGCCATCTGAGGGAAGGCTTGTGGGTCACAGCCTCCCTCAGGGCATGCAATTAGGAGACATTAACTGCCACCCATTCCTCTTTCACAGTTCAAAGAACACAAGCCAAGGGCTGGGCAGCAGGTTGGTGAGAGAGAGAAGGAACACTGGCTGCCTGAAGGCAGGGCTCAGGTCTGTATGACCCCTTGCAGTTAGGGTGTCCTGGCTCTCCTGGCTTTAACAGCACATTCACTTTGATGGGTAATGAGCTGGCACAGGGGGAACCCTGTATTGCTTTGGCACTTATGTGAGTGATCTGGCTTTTTAATCTGTCTGTGGGGAACACATGTCTTCTGTGTGAGAGGAAGCCAACACCATAACCTGCAGCAGGGCCCTTTGCCAATTACAGTCAGAACTTTCCTCGTGCAACTGCCTGTGGCTGAGCTCCTGTAAGGCAGCAGAAATAGGAAGGCCTGGAAAGCAGAAGCCGGGAGTCAGTTGATGGCTATGGTCTCATTAGTAGCCTTTGCTGGGGCAAAGAAGGGAAAACAAGGTCTTGAAACACCTTATTTTTAAGCTGTTCCTGGCTAGAAGGGTTTTCTGCCCATGATATGCCCAGGGATGTCAAGTCCTTAGGACTGGCCAAGAGGAAGGATCCAAAAGAAGGAGGGATTGCTGTGTTCTTCTCCTGAGGGCTGGACGGCCATGCTCTACCATGTTCTCATTCTTTTTCCCTTCCATTTAAAAATTAAAAAAAAATTACTGGTAATTTTTTGTTTCAACACATCATACAACTTTCCCCTGATCTCAGTGTCTTCCTAACTGCATGCCCCACAATCAGTAAAGCAAAACATTAAAAAAGTGATTTAGACTGATTGTACATGCAACTTTACATTAATAGTTTTGTTTGTTAAAAGAATGGGTATATGCTGTTTAAATACCCACATTGTCCCATGTTTTCAATCTGAATTCTGTTTCTACTAAAAATGATCTTCATTCACATAGCTGTAGTAATTGTATCTATTTTTCTTTGATTCTGCTTTGATCGTGCTGCATTGTTTCATATAAGTCTTCCCATACTTCTTTGAATTTGTCCTTTTTTGTCATTTCTTATGATGTAGTAATATTTTTATAGTTACATACCACAATATGTTCAGTCATTTCCCAATCACTAAGATATACAGTTTGTTTCCAACTTTTGGCTACATTTGTAAATAGTACCACTAGAAATATCTTTTTGCAGACAGGCTTTTTTCTTGTTGTGCAAACCTCCTTGGAGGTAAAAACCCAATATTGACATCACTGGCACAGAGGTTAAGAACAATTTTCTAACTTTTCTTGTGTAATTCTAAATTGTTTTCCAGAATGGTTGGATAAATCCACTGATCTACAAGCAGTAAATTAGTATGGCTGGTGGGGTGGGAGGGAAGGAAGGTACCACCCACCCTACCTAACCCTGTTTTTTTCTATCTTTTACTGTTTTTGCTAATAGGGTTATGTTAGCTGCTTTAACTTTCATTTTCTGATTATTTGTGATTCTGAGCACTGTTTTATATGCTTGATGATGGTATGATCTTAGTTTTGAAACTGCTTGGGTTCTCCACTGTGGGAATTTACCCGATTGCTAGCTACACAGAAAAAAAAAATAGGAACTGAAGGGTTGGAGTTGAATTGTCTGGAGCATCTGTCACGTGGTCTTTTAAAAACAAAGTTACCTCTTCTAATCATTCCTGGTGAGTGCGAGAAACATAGTCAATATGCTTGCTGTGTGGTACTGAGTAAGGGAAGACACCATTACATTAGAGATACTTTATTTGAGAAAATAATTGGTAGGCACTGGACATGGTGAACACTGAATCCCATCACAAAAAACAAAATTGATTATATTTTAACGGACAGCACTTGTTATAGATGTAGAAGCCATCCTTAAATGGACTGTCTGAGTATAGGCAGACTGTCAATGTATTAGAGCAAAGATCCTAACTAGTAGGGAGCTAGAAGAAGAAAAATGAGAAAAACATATAGTATGCAACTGAAACAAAGTCATCTTGAACTATTTACATAAGTAAATGGTCATGAAAAATGTGTAATAAGAGAAGAAATGATATTGACATGTATTAAACTTTTATATCAAAATTTAACCACTGCAAATCAATTGTCATAACAAGAAGACCTTGTCAGCAAACCTTAGTCAGCAAACAACTGACTTACTTGTCAAGCTGAGAGAGATAGAAGCCAAAGTAATACCTGTTTAAGGCGCATGTGTATATACATATACACATATATGTATATATATTCACTTTTAAAATCTTATAAATGATGACAGTTAATTATGAACAGTTCAGTTCAGTCCAGTCATTTCAGTCATGTCTGACTCTTCGTGACCCCATTTGGGGTTTTCTTGGCAAAGATACTGAAGTGGTTTGCCATTTCCTTCTTCAGCTCATTTTACAGATGACTAACTGAGGCAAACAGGTTTAAGTGACTTGCCAGGGTCACATAGCTAGTAGGTGTCTGAGGCCAAATTTGAACTTAGAGAGATGAGTCTTCCTGACCCCAGGCCTTTTATTCCATACATTATGCCACTTGGCTGACAAGAGAGTTATACAATTTTCCCAGCAATTTTTGAATATTATTCTTTCTCTAGTACTTCATGGTCTTAGGTTTATTAAAAATGAGGCTGCACGAAGCATTTCCTAAGTCATGCTAATGTTATCTATTCCACTGTTAGACCATTCAGTTTTTATATTTAATACCATGATCTTTTTTTTTCTAGAATTTTTTTTTAAATAAAAAACTCATCTTCTTCACATTGAGATTCCTTACTTGAAAGGGGGAAACATAATGACATAGTCAGCAAAGATTACATTCTTTGTACCAGGGGAACGTTTGGGATGTTTTTTAAAGTCCCATTTGCCTTTTTTTATTAATTTATTTTTAGTTTGCAACAATCACTCCCATAAGTTTTTGAATTTTAAATTTTTCTCACCCTCCCTCCCCAAGACAGCATGCAATCTGATATAGGCTCTACATATACATTCCTATTAAACATATTTTCACCTTAGTCATGTGGTAAGGAAGAATTTAGAACCAATAGGAGGAACCACCAGAAAGAGGAAACAAAACAAAACAGAAGGAAAAAAAAGAGCAAATAGTATGCTTTGATCGGCATTCAAATTCCATAGTTCTTTCTCTGGATGTGAATAGCATTTTCCATCATGAGACTTTTGGAGATATCTTAGATCCTTGCATTGCTTAGAAGGACTAAGTCTATCAACATTAGTCATGGCACAACATGGCTGTTAACTGTGTACAAAGAACTCCTGCTTCTGCTCACTTCATTCAGCATCAGTCCATACATGTCTTTCCAGGTTTTTCTGAAGTCCACTTGCTCATCATTTCTTTTCTTTTCTTCTTTTTGTTTGTTTTTAGGCAATTGGGGTTAAGTGACTTGCTCAGGGTCACGCAACTAGTAAGTGTGAAGTGTTTGGTCTGAGGCCAGATTTGAACTCAGGTCCTCTTGACTTCGGGGCTGGTGCTCTATTCACTGCGCCACCTAGCTGCCCCTGCTTATCATTTTTTACAGCACAATAGTATTCCATTATATTCATATACCACAACTTGTTCATCCATTCCCCAATTGATGGGCATCCCCTCAATTTCCAATTCTTTGCCACCACAGAAGGGGCTGCTATAAATATTTTTGTACATGTGGGTTCTTTTCCCATTTTTATTATCTCTTTGGGATACAACCCTAGAAGTGCTGTTGTTGGGTAATACCATAATCTTGATAATTACTACTTTAGTAGAAGATCACATCAAAGGCCAAACTCCTTCACTTCTACTTTTGTTTTCCGAGATATTTTTTGACCATTTACACTTCCATATGGCTTCTGTTGTTATCTTGTTTAATTCTATAAAGTAGCCTTTTGGTCATTTGAAAGGCCTAGTAGCAAATCTATAGATTAACTTGGGCAGTATGACCCTTTTTACCACTGTATATCAGTGTGGCCTACGCAAGGCATTGAGTGTCTCTCAACTTTTTGAAGTCTCCCTTCATTTCTATTAAAATTGTTTTATAGTCATATTATGGGTTAAGAACTGCACAGAAGAGTCAGGCATGGTTGGTTTGCAATATGTATTATTGGAAGGGACATCCATACCACTGAAGCCACAGCTCCATTTGGGCATTTAAGTTGCATTTATATAAATAATATGTGTATTGGTAGATTAGTGAAGATATTTAATACACATTTTATTGTTATTTTAAATTATATTCCTCTTTCTATCTCATGTACCTAGTTTTTGTTAGTAATCTATGGAAATGCTAATGATTTTTTGTGTATTTATTTTGTATTCTGCTACTTTCCTAAGGCTATTGATTTTCTCTTTTTTGGTTTATCTCTAGGAATTTCTAAATCAACCATGTTATATTAAGTTTTGTTTTTACTCTATCAGATCCTCTTAATATTACTTTTTCCCCCTACTGTTTTATTTTTAAACAGTAGGGAAAGTAGGGCCCATTAGCCCTTGTGCTAACACAAATCCCATTTCCCCCTACCCAGATATGCTTTGTAACAATTCAATCTTTAAATATATATGTATGTGTATTTGTTTTGATTTTATATCATTTATATTTTCTATTGTATTTTTCCCCACACCTCCCACAAAGCCATTCCTTATAATAATAAAGAATAAAAAAAAAGGAAAGAAGCATTTATTAAGCACCAACTATGTGCCAGGCACTGTGTTAAGCACTTTCCAAATAGTATCACATTTGATCCTTACAACCACCTTGAGAGGTGGGTACTATTATTTTCCCTATTTTACAGCCAAGAAGACTGTGGCAAATAGAGGTTGTGAATTGCCCAGGGACACATAGCTAGTAAGTGTTAGACACCAGATTTAAACTCAGGTCTTCCTGATTCCAGGCCCAGACCTCTATCTACCATGCCACCTAGCTGTCTCAGCAAAGGAGAAGAAGAGAAAGGAAAAAGAAAGTTCAAAAAAA